TCTGTTCCTCTCGGGAACTCTCACTAATGCAGCTGCTTTTGTCAGGTGTTTGTCATACCAATGAGGAAGGTAATTAATATAAAAATAGTTTAAAAAATAATTTTTAAATATTTTTAGGAAATTAGGTGGAGACTGATTCCTTTTCTCTCTCTCTCTCTCTCTCTCTCTCTCTCTCTCTCTCACACACACACACACACACAAACACACGTAAAACAGCTGAGTATCTAAACCAAATATATCTGCTCAGAGCCAGTGAGATGGCTCAGCAGGGAAGCTGCTAAGCCTGAAGACCTGAGCTCAGCTTCCAGGACCCACACAACAGAAGGAAAGAACTGGCTCTTACAGGCTGTCCTACAGCCTACATGGTGGCACAAGTGTACCTCCCCCCTCCATGCAAATACATGAATAAATGTAAAAAACTAAATATATCGGATACATTAGTGACTAAATTAAGTGTCATAATTTTAGTTATTCACAATTACTAAGTAAAAGCACATTAAACTGGTACTAAGACATGAAGTTTCAGAATTAAAAAAAACTGTGCTATGTCATTTATTTTTACAAGGAGAAATACCTTTTTCGGGTAAAAGCAAAGCAAGAGAGGCTGGCAGCAACCCAAGACCTTTCTGAGCAGAGAACAACTGTGTCTCAGGTCAAGTGAGTTCTGATTTGTGGTCACAGCTTGTGCAGCTTCTGAGGTAAGATCACAAAGAAAGTTGGGTTGAACTCGTTTTAGTCACTGGTGAAAAGGAAGCCCCAGGTCCTGTTACTCACCAAAAGCTGCAAGCCTTAGTGCTTAATAATTAAGCAGGGTTCCAATATGGGTGCATAGAGAAAACTCCAACTTGTGTGAATGAATATCTGTGTGCCAATTTCCAAAAAAAAAAAAAAAAAAAAAAAGCTCAGTTTGTGTTCATGCTGTGTCTTTACCTTGAAGGTAAGTTTCTGTCTGAATGCAGCTTCCAAGTGAATACAGTAAATAAAAATCTCTATTAATATGGTCCTTCACAACAGTCTAATTTTAAATTTTTAATACTCCTTTTCAGTGTGTACAAGCATTTTTCCTGCATGCATATAAGTACACTGCATGTGTGCCTGGTGCCTGCAGAGGCTGGAAGAGGGTGCCAGATCCCCTGGAACTGGAGTTACAGATGGTTGTGAGCTGCCATGTGGGTGCTGGAAATCAACCCTGGGTCCTTTGCAAGAGCAGCACATGTTCTTAGTCACTGAGTGTCTCTCTAGTTTCCATGCAGATGATTAAGTTATTAGGAAATACCTGTGTTAAACAGTAGGCACTTGAAAATAAATGGCTCAGTGGGTAAAAGAGCTTGCTATGCAAGTATCAGGACCCAGGTGTGAATCTCCAGAATCCATGTTAAAGCTGTCAATTTTCAGTTAGTATTAAAGGGGAACATAGTATTATGTGCCCCTTCCCTGCACTCCAGCCCTTATCCTTCTGCTAGCCTTATAGATGGCATCCACAGGTTTGTCCAGTCTGTGACTTCAGCAAACTGGAGGAACCAGCAGAGCAGACTGTGGGAGGAGAAACACCTGGGCAGGTATCACCCGATTCTTAGCCATGCACCCACATGGTTGCTGGGCATCAGCTTTAACCAAGGTTGGGGCTTGCTGAAGGTGTCCAGGTGAAGCCATATGGTAAGCTGGGGCAAAGCCAAAATGTGATTGACACATTTCACGTGTGCCAAGTATAGCTCAGGATTCTCTTCAGAGCAATAATTATTTTTTCCTCAATTTTCTCACTTCCCAAAATATTGGAGCTGAAGGTCATATGGCTTGTGAAGAATAAAAAGTCACAATATGTTAGAAGTTGTACAAGAAGGCATGATGTAGTCTCACAGCTATTTTAAAGTCAAATATCTGAATCTAATTAGAAACAATCCATGGCTGTCTTCGGAATAAAAAATTCAGTTGCTTCCAAATGATTGATGCAAAATGTGCAGCTGTCACCAGGCATTTTTCCTCAGAGTGACAGCTGCTGCACTCTTCTCAGGGAGGAAGCTGGGAAGGGGTTTGCTTAGATGCAGAAGTGCCTGGAACACTGAGAGACAAAGTGAAGGTCCTTGCATAGAGCAGTGGCCCCACGAGCACACCTGCACCAGTCCTCTAGCTAGTCTCATCACTTTCACCGGTATATGTCCTGGTCCAGGTGTTTTCAGGCATTTCCCGCCATGGGGACAAGGAGAGACCAGCAGGGATTTAGAGAAGTCATAGGGAGGCACTGGCCTGAACACACCCTGAGAGAAACTGGGCACTGCCTGTGTCCTGGTCCTGATGCAGGGGGTGCCACCTCATTATTCTGTCTTTTCCCTCTGTCTTCCCCAGGAGGCTTGCATCCTCCTCCATCTCAAGACAAGTTGCAATGCATGATTTATTGCCATTGGTCCCATCCTTGCTTCCAGGGCTCAGTGCTATCCTACATTGTATCACCCGCTCTGGTTTCTTATTCTGCCCTATCTTTCGCTCTTCTATGCTTAGAACTGCCTAGTCTCACCTCTGAAGTTCAGAGTCCCCTAAAATCACTGGCCAGGATGGGAGCAGCCACTCGTCCTGGGCTCAGATTCTGATTTTTTTTTTTTTTTTCTCTACATGCTACCTGGTTGCCCTCATTAGTCTGGGCACACTCTGCTCCCGGGATGCTATGCAGCTGCTATTGTCTCTGTGGCTAAAAGCCCTCTATAAACTGGGGCTGTCAAGTTTATTTAAGTTACCAAGTAAATCTTTGTTTATAGAAAAGACTTGATCCTTTCTCTGGACCCTGTACTTATCTTAAAATGGTTTTCTTTACTACATGTTTTCTTCACTGCATTCAAGGGTGATTTTATTTTTTAAATTGACAGTAGACAAATGCTTGCTTATAATTCTACAAAGTAACTTTTTTCCTGTTTTTTTAAAAAAAATAAAGGTTCAATTCAGTGTGCCAAATATATAACAACAACTCTTCAATCTGGAAAAATAAAGAAAATAATGTGTGTTCACAAATTTTAATCTTAAAATGGAAAACTGTTAACCTCCCCATATTCCATCTCATACTAAACTGGATGCCTTTTTATAGAGCTATACAAAGAGGTAATAAGACAAGGGGTGGTTGTATGATATGTGGGCCTCACCTGAAATCAAACATGGAACCATGGAGTTGGGATGGTGGTTACATGGCTGTATTGTAGTGATGAGTCTAAATTTCAGTGTGGCATACAACTGAGTTTTAAATAAACCAACGTGAACACCCTTGGAATAATGGCAAGCAAATTTCCATTCATGATGGAATGTGAAATTGGAGAGGCTAGATACTTTATTTTTAAAAAGATTTAACTCAGACCAAATGCCTTTCTTGGGTAGATCAGTTAAGTGGGGCAGGCCTATTCATGCATTCCATGTATGTGTTTCTTTGTTCAGCTCTTAGAATCAAGTCTTTTAATGTTGTTTTCTCTTTGTAGTCACTTTAAGAAAAAGAAACAATATTTTAAAAAATAATATATTTTTATCTTATATACATTGGCGTTTGTCTTCACGTATGTCTGTGTGAGGGTGTCAGATCCCCTGAAACTGGAGTTACAGACAGATGTGAGCTGCCATGCAGGTGTCAGGAATTGAACCCAGGTCCTCTAGAAGAGCAGCTAGTGCTCTTAACCACTGAGCCATCTCTCCAGCTCAAGAAACTATATTTTTCAAATCATTATAGAAAAATCCATTGTTTAAGCAAAAGAAAACTTACCCTTTGCATTATAACAAGTAATAAGGACTCAAAGGTGGAGAATTAACATGTAACTTGTAATAAAGATTTAAGAGGAGAATTAGGATTTTTCTGCCTTAGCATCCACTTCACCAATAACACACCCACCACTCAGCAAGCTAACCCAAAACCTCTCACTGAACCAAAGTAAGAGGTCGGATCTAACCCTGTGTAAGCAAGAAACAAGCTTGTCACACAGCTTCACTAGACAGAAGGCTATATCAAAAGCAAAACCAGTATACAGTGTGGTGTTGAGTTGGCCCCTATCATTCAGCCTCCCTCAAGGAAAAGACACCACCGAGAACCGTTCAAACATTTGTCAGTCTGGGTCAGATCTTCAGATTCTAGTTTTTATTCAATATTTACACTTCCCAAATAGGAGCATAGTCAATTATGTAATTATGAGCTTACATTTTAAAATTATACAATGTTTGGCAATTTCTCTTGTCAATACTTAAAACTGAAGATCAGAAAGGTACAAAATAGCAGTAGCAGTCCACTATCAAATGGGTCAGGTCTACAAACTCTAGCCCCTGCATAGGGGCATGAGAGATCACAGTAAGAGAAAGCACATCAAGTCACAGAGTACCACAAGGTGAAATGGAAGGTGATTTCCACCACTTCACCAATGTCCCCGAACCCACTTCAAAAGCCTGCCCTCACACTCTGTCTTGTTAGTCATGCATTCAGGGGCTATTAAGACTCTTCCTGCTCCCTCCCCTAGGTGAGGGAAACCCAGTCCAGCCAAATTTCTTTTTCTTTTTTTTTTTAATTTGATTTTATTAACTTTTTCCCCCTCATTTATTTTTATATACTGACCACAGTTTCCCTTCTCTCCTCTCCTCCTGTTCCCTCCCCTGGACTCCCATCTACTCCCCATCCATTCCTCCTCTAGTCTCCATTCAGAGAGGGGCAGGACTCCCATGGGCTTGAATAAAGCATGCACATCAAGTTGAGGTAGGACAGAGCTCCTCCCCCTGCATCAAGGCTGGGCGAGGTAATCTAGCACAGGGAACAGGTTTCCAAAAGCCATCAGCCAAATTTCTTACTTATCCAAGCCATACACCATAGTGAATAACTCTAGGCTTGTGCTGAGGGTATTGGGCAATTTCCTTAACTTAAGTCTGTGTATAGGTTAAAACTCTAGGCAGATAATTAAAGTCTCACTTTGGTATAAATTCAGGGGCAAAGAAATGTACTCTGGTTCAATTAGGTTTGTTGTCAGGTACAACAAATGCAAACACCATACCTTTCTTCCATGGACACCTCTTTTAGCTGCTGGTGTGGTTTGGTGCCTTCCATTTCCCTGATGCTCACAGCATAGATCTTGGTGGTATACTCAATGGCCTTCTCTCTAGCAACATCACTGTCATAGCCTCAAACAACAGAATGAGATTGGGGTATGAGTTGGTTTTCAGGTTTTGTGTGTGTGTGGGGGGGAAGGACCACAAAGGTGCTATCATAATGGAAGGGACATGGCTGATTGGGGCTCACCTCCATCTTCCTCCGCATCTGTATCTGACTCTTCACTATCAACTAGCTTGCTTTCCTGGGTTCCCACAAATTCCCTGGTCCAGATCATCAAGGCTGTGTCAGCACCTCCTACCGTGAGCAACACAGAGTCATTGTGCAGCCACCTTACGTTAGTGACGTGTGCGCTGTGCCCCACATACTTCTTGTATCTTGCATGCTGTCCCTGTAAATAAAGCCAGAAGCTGGCAGTTAACAGTCAGAAGCCTATTATTCCTGTTACTTTTCCTGTAATAAAACAGTTCAAAGCAGCAATTTTGCTAGTATTATGAGAATGCATGTTCCATGAAGGCAGGGCTGGTATCCCTGTAATACAATGTTTGGCCTATACTAGGGCTTCAATACATGTTTTTGAGGTGCATTTGGGAATTAAGGACAGAAGGGAGCAAGGAACCTCAAGTAATGTCTAAAACAAATGCCCCAGCAATTCTTCCATGGACACTGGAAAGCAGAAACAACCTGAAGAACTCATGTAAAGGCAAAGCAAGTTCCTTTCCACTAGACAAATCTAAGTAAATAAAATCCAGTTCTCAAGTCATTACTGGAAGCTTTTGGAGTGGGGTTCCCAGGCTGCACCAATATATCAGCAGGTGTTGAGGGGTAGAGGGTGGGGGGTGCCTGTGGCTGTCCCCAGCGTTGTCCTGACAAGTGCTGGGAAGCCAGCATTGGCACCAGGAAGAGCTTCCATTCTGGGTTCATGAAACATAGAAAGCTCTGATGGAAGCCACTTAAACAGGCAGTTTTTCCATCCTCTCAGAGGTCCCAGGCAATCCCTAATGCAACGCGGTAAGCCACATGAACAGGAGCCAGCCAGTAAAACATTAGTACAAAAGAAGGGCTTTGGACTAGTGTGCTGGGAAACCTGAAATAGTAGACACATGGCAGGAAACAGGGACAGCTCTCTGGGATCTGCTGATCTCTCTGATCCTTTCCTGTCACTCAGAAACTACCCAGTTCTCAACAAATCTCCAAGTGTAGGTATAGCAGGGGAGCAAATAGGCAGGCAGTATCAAGGCTTCCAGCTCTCTGTGTGCCAAGATCTAATTCCCCTTCTGGCCTCTGAGGGCACCTGCACTCTTGTACACATACCAACCCACTCACATCCATAATACACGTCTTTCAAAAAACAGCAAAAATAAATCTAAAAAAAAAAAAAAAAAAAAAAAAAAAAAAAAAAAGAAAAAGAAAAAGAAGAAAAGTAAAATAAACAAAAGGCCTGAACAGACATTTCTGCAAAGAAGGCTTGTGACTATAAAAGTGAATACAATAGGCATTTGTTTGCCAAGTGAAAAATAATGCCTGGAAGATATGTTTAGGGAAAAAACAATGGATAAAATGACCAAGAAGACAACTGAAGATATAATAGCTAACCAATGAAGATTGCATTTAGACACAGAAAGAATGTTTTGTGGCAGGAATAAGAACTCCATGCATCATCTCTCTGAAGCAGGGTTTCATTATATAGCCCAGGCTTACCTCACACTTAGGATGCTTCTATGCCAGCGTATCAAGCGCTGGGATTACAGACATACAACACTGCATCTGAATTTGGTGTCTCTATTTTTATTTATTTATTTATTTATTTATTTATTTATTTATTTATTTAATGTATGTATGTTTTTAAGATAAGAGCTTCTCTGTGTAGCCTTGGCTGTCCTGGGAACTTGCAATGTAGACCAGGCTGGCCTTGAACTAAGAGATCCACCTGCCTCTGCCTCCTGAGTGCTGGGATTAAAGGTGTGCACCACCAGACGTGACTCTGTTGTCTCATTTTATAACTCATTAACTCTGTCAGACCAGTGCTGCACACTTATAAACTTCAGACTTACTTCTGTACAGCTCCTCTCTCCACACATAGGGAAGTAGGGCTCTGCTGTGTTTGCAAGGAGGGCACATTCAGTTAACAGTGAATTTTCTCAAGAGTATAGTTGTTGGAGGAGCAACTTTACTCAGCTGCATAGTATTCCCACTTGGGTAAGGGAAGTGACCTAGAAAAGCTAGATTAAAAAAATTGGGAGAGCTTGGTATGGTTGTTGAGACCTGTAATACCAATACTTGGAAGGCAGAAGCAGGAAGAACAAGTCAATTCAAGGCCAGCTTGATGTAGATGGGCTGTGGGGTGAGATTAGAGAAGGCTTACTAGCTAAGAGTGCCTCCTGCTCCCATGTTAGGCACTCAAACAACATTTACTCCAGTTCGAGGGGATCCAAGGCCTCTTTCTGGACTCTGAGGGCACTTTATTCATATAGATGCAAAATTTTTAAAATAGTAAAAATAAACCACAGAGAAAGACAGACAGACAGACACAGAAACACAGACACATATACAGACACACACAGAGGAGGGGGGACAACAAAGGACCTGAACAGAAATTTCTGTAAAAACAAAAATAAAACAAATAAACAAAATACGGACATAGAAATGGGAAATGGGGGTATGAAAAGTCATCCAACCCCACTTACCAGGGGAATGCAAATTGAAACCGTAATGAGATATCACCACATATGTTAGGACAACTGGTACCCAGAAGACAAAAGAACAAGTGTTTGAGAGGGTGTGGAGGAAAAGGGACACTGATGTAAATGCTAAGATACATTGGTACAGCAATATGGAAAGCAGCGTGAAGGTTCCTCAAAATTTTACAAATGTAAACCACTGTGTTCTTTTGCTGTTTCTCCAGCTCCAATCTTTTAAGGTTGTGGAAACTGAACACAGTACTTTCGAGTGTCAGCCAAGCACTGCACCACTGATCCATTTCAGATTCATGTCTGTTGATCTGAGTTCCTTATATGTTTTAGTTACTCTTTATCAGACACTGTGAATGTTTTCTCTCTTTGGTGGCTGATTTTTCATTTCATTGATCATTTCCATTGTTGTGCATAGTATTTTTAGTTTAGTGTAATCTCACTGGTTTATTTCTCCCCCTTTTTGTTATTTTGCTGTTGGTGTAAGATCTAAGATCCTACTCTGGAACTTTGTAAGCCTGAAGGGCACAGTTTCAGATAACTTCTCCAGGCATCCCACCTGGTCAGTTTGGAAAAAAAGATGATGAATTTCCTACAACAAGAGTAAAAACAATAGGGTTTCAGCTAAGTATTTCCCAGCCCTATTAAAGCCAAGGTATCACACCTTTTTTTTTAAATTGTTCTAAAAGCAATTTCATTTTAAAATGAAGAAGAGTGGAGGGCTGAGGAGATGGCTTAGTTAATAAAATGCCTTCCACTCAAGCATGAGGACTTGAGTTTGGATCCCCAATACCCATGTAAAAACACCTGGTTATGGTTATGTAGTCTGTAACTTTATTCCTGGAGCTTCCAATTTAGGGAGGTAGCCAGTCAGTAAGCTCTAGGCCTAGGGAGAGACCTTGTCCCAAAAAATAAAGTAGAGGGCTGGAGAGATGTCTCAACAATTGAGAGCACTGACTGCACTTCCAGAGGACCCAGGTTTGATTCTCAGCACCCATATGGTGGCTCACAATGTATATAACTCTAATTCCAAGGACACTTATGGTGCATAGACATATATGCAGAGAAAACACCCATGCACATAGTTTTTTAAAAATTACTAAAAAACAAGAAAGTACTAGAGGAAGACATCCAACATGGACATCTGGTCTTCATACATAAGCATGTACATATGCATTCACACTTATGACACATACATATAAAAAGTAAAAAGTAGAAGAATCAGGGAGAAGAGCTACTGAGAATTGAACTCTAATCAAATAGAAAAGGCTAGCAGGTGAGGCGAAGTAATGAATGGGCCATTGGGTGAAGGCATTAGAATGTGAGATGGACAGTAATGTCTGCATTAGACATGGCATTAGAAAAGGCTCCTGACAGTGATGATGTGACCAGGTCTAACAAAAGAGAAGAAAAACAAAAAAACATCCAAAAGACCCAGAGTAGGTACTGAAGGAGCATGTCTGCTTGATTTTAGTTTTACATAAACCGGAATACTGAGGGAAAAACAAGAAAAGTAGAGGGAATGAAAAAAGACCTCTCAGGATAGATAGTATAATAACACAGAATTTACTTATTTCCTCTATCAAAGAGAATGTCCCTCAAACCAGGAGGGGTGAGCCAGCCTATTTGCATGGTTATATGAACAATCAAATGTGACCACAAAGAATGCTACACCTAGGAATTAGAAAGGTGTCATCAGACATAGGAAGGCTGCTCCAGGACTAACAAGTAGGCACTGGGAAATGTTGATTCATGAGCTGATGCAATCTGGCTGGATGAGGTGTTCAACAAGGGATTTGGAGTGGCAGGATCCTCTTCTGTTGGGTGGGTCATTAGGAGAAACTGGGGACGACAGAGACAAAACAAACTTGACTTTCAGCTTTATGTTTACAATATATTTTTTATTGTATATTTGCTTTGAGACATATAGTCCTGGCTGATCTCAAACTTGCTATGTAACCAATGCTGGCTGTAAGCCCCTCATCCCGTGCCTGCCTTCCAAGTGCAGAGTTACAGCATGTGGTCTAGGCTGTCTGATTTCACCAAGTATTTTAATGATGTCTTGGAAAAGGCTGCAGTATTGTATAGCTAGATAGTTTTAAATATCTGTTATCAGTTACAGAATTGAAACAGGTTGACATGTGCAATGGACATTGATCAGTGTATCTAGCATCAGTGTTTGACTGTTAATCTCTTTCTATGATTTAGAAATAAGAATGTAAGACCAAGATGGCATGGTTTAAGCCATCTTGAAGGCATTTGGAAGATGTGGCTATGATAGACAAGCTAAGCTTGGTATAGATATAAACACTAAAACTAGAGTTCAGAAACTAGGTTCTGTAAGTACAGGGTGGGAACACGGACACTTCTGAGAATGATAGCTATATGTATGATTTTAGCTCAACTGGTGACATTTTAATTTTATTCAATGAAACTGTAATATCAAAACCAAGAAGCTAACAGTCTGGCTGTCCCATGAGCTAGTCAGGTTTTATCTGAAGAACTGGTTTAGCTATAGGCAGCTGGAGAAGGAACTGATAACATTAGCATAGAGGGAGAGGCAGCTACAAACCATGGCACATGGGAAAAGGTTGAAGGAATTGGAGATGCCCAGATGGGGAGATGAGCCTACAGGGTACAACATTCCTACATACAAAGGCTGTTAGAGAACTGGGAATATGTCTCAATGATCAAGAGGCAGAGTGCAGGCTACCAACAGGAGCTTAGCTCAGGTCAAGGAATGCTTGTTAACAACAGAAGCTGCTTAAAGACAACTGTGCTGCTTTGAGGGACAGCAAGTTCCTGGTCTCTGGACCTATGCCAGAACAAGTCAGAAAGGCCGAGTGTGAGGTGTAAAGATGATGCCTGATTCACAGTTCATACGAGTAGGGTTTGTGGGACCTCTGTGTCATGAGAATTTCACTTAAGTCATTTCCTTACAAGCAGTACCAGGGAGGTTTCTACACAGCATTACAAAAGTAATAAATATCACTCCTGACTGCATGTGCATTCAAATAAAAAATATCCACTCAAGTGTAACAGATTGATTAAGGGTAACTAATGAAACATGCAACATTACCTTGACTGGATATGAAAAAAGCTTAACAAAACCAAAATCATCCCCAGTGGCTAAGAGGGAGCCATCTTTAGTAAGACTGGCAGCATTGACATCAGTCACATCACTATGTGCTGGCCAGATTCCTTCACAGGTGGATCCCAGGACACAAGTCCATGTGTCCCATTCTATCTTCTCAATCTGCAGGAGGATAAAAGAGTGTGAGCACTTTGTATAGCCTCATTTCTTTTTGTTTTATTTAAGAGAAGTGAATTTTCAAATGAGTAGCTTTCCAAATGACAAGCTTTCCAAAGGCAGGCATTTGTGTTGGGCACTGAGCTCCAATTCTTAGTTGCCATTATTGTTGTTGTTCTTTTTTTGTGAGACAGGGTTTCAGTCTGTAACCCAAGCTGGCCTTGAACTCTCAGCCTCCCAAGTGCAAGATTATTGGGCACAAGCATTGTATCCAGCAACTGAATGGCATATTTAAAATAGTATTGTCATTTCTCAATTAACCAATACTACAGTCAAATATACTCAAATTATTTTCTTTCTAGACTAAAAGCATACTTTGGAATTTTGGAATCCTGACCACAATAAAGTTTTAATTAATTAGATTTTTAATCACTGTATAGCCTATGAACTAGATCAGCTATTTTCAGTCCAGGACTGACACCTTATGCTGGATCATTCTTTGCTGTGGGTAACAGTCTGTGCAGGTAGCCATGTTTAACAGCAATACTGGCCCTCACCCCTTAGATTCCAGCATTTCCCTTCTCCATGGACATGAATAAATGTTCCTGAGGGCAAACAATTACTGGGCTAGTAGATTTTTAAAAAGTGAGTCAGGGTATGTGGGGATGGGGGTCGGTACTCTCCTTCCACTCTTTGGTGGCTGAGGATTGAACTATTATGGCCAGCCTTAGCAGCAGGTACCAGGCTCTAAGTTTCTCATAGGTTTGATCTCAATTATTAAAAAATTACACATGGGGCAAAGGGCACAAGGAAAACATGGGGAAAAGAAAAGAGTTTGACACTGGACTGGTCAGAGTTCTGTTTCAGAAAGTATCTTACATTACAATTACTACAAATAAACACTGAGAAAATATTTTTTAAAATTACATTTATAAAAAATTGCACAAAATGACATGATAAATGGAAAAGGCGGTATGTACTATCCAGTTTGTTAGCATATTCAGTATCCTCAGGAAAGAAGACTGAGCACAATGCCATCACCATGTTAGTGACACAGTCAGTCCTTGTTCTTGAAAATTAGGAAAACTAATTAATGGTTTACAGTTAAGAAATTAAAAATCTAAAGGTAGACAGTGACCTGTGTTCAGATTAATAGATTTAGATTAATAGATTTAGAAAGCATATTTTTCCAACCAATGCAAAATATCTTTTTTAAAATATATAATTTATTTTTATTTTATACGCATTGGTGTTTTGCCTGCATGCATGTCTCTGTGAGGGTGTCAGAAGTCCTGAAACTGGAGTTACAGACAGGTATGAGCTGCCATGTGGGTGCTGGGAATTGAACCCAGGACCTCTGTAAGAAAAGTCAGTGCTCTGAACTGCTGAGCCATCTCTCCAGCCCCCAAATATCTTTTAAAACCTGTATATAGGACTGTTACCTCTGAGGGCCTTATTATATGTCTTCTGCCTCTTGGAGCTTCAAAGAAAAGTTGTTCTTTGGCACCTGAATTAACTTGCAATAATTTCCCTGTTATGGTAAAAATAAGAGAGTGAGCATTTATTATTTTGTTATAAAATTCTAAGCATGGTTGCCACAGTATTCATTTTCATTAGTCTCACGAATTGCATTAAATATAAGTTATATTATTTCAAAAAAACACATAAATATCAACACACTAATGCCCAAAGCTCTAATTTAAAAAGATGGACCTCATAACATTTGACCTTAAGTGTCTGTCAAATTACTCAAGGATTGAGGCTGGTCTTTTGTTCAGCAGCACTAAAATGAGCAATGATTTCCCAAACCCTGTCAAGATAAAAATTTTTACTTCTTTACCCCACGGCTGTCTACTGTGTTGATGAAATAAAGGCAAAGTGTTCTGGAACACAAAATGAGATTCTTGTGAGAACTGCATTTGCTTACTTCTAATTCTAAATTTGCCTTTAAAACAAACTATAAATACTGACCCTCCTGACCTTGTCTTAGCTGAAGACTTCAAAAGGAGAAAGAGTTGATCCTCAAACAAAATGTCGAGCAACTGGCTTTTCAGCTATCAGGATATACAACTATGGTCTCATTCACTGTGGCTGATGTTGAAAAAGATTCAACTTCTAAATCCTCCTCCTACAAAAGCAGCAGTCCTTCATGAATGGAAAGTTCATTTGTTGGAGTATGGTGTCTACTTTTTTTTTTTTTTTTTTTTTTTTTGCAATGGAAAATTTCAATGGGACTTGGACATGAGAATACAGGTCCGGCTCCCACAGCTATGAACTCACTTGACTCACAACCCTTTGTTGACTGCCTCAACCCAGATACCAGGCATTTTATCTGTAAACAATTTACATAAAGAGCTATTTCCCACTTCCCCCACAACTGTGTATCCAGGAGCTTTGATATGCTCTTGGGTAAAAACAATACCCAAAGATTTTTTTTTTTTTTTGCTTCACATGCTATCTGTGACATTTATTACTTGGTCTGAAACCTAAAGAAGGTGGGTAGGTGTTTCCAAGTGATTATAATTAAGAAACAAGGTTCTCCAGGCTCTTTACTGCTGGTCTAATAGTTTCTAATTTGGTAAGGTATCACATGACTGCCTAGGCACTGGGGACTGAAGGGATCTGAAAGAGGGGCCTCTGAGACAGACATATTTTGCAGATTTTATGACTAAACATGTACAAATGAACAAAAGCAAAGAAAGAAATGAGGGGAATTTAGGTGATTGCTTGCTGTTCCGCAGCAGGAAGTGAGCAATCATTACTTTTTTAATGAACTAAATATATCTACAAAGAAAGTATGTTATTAGGATTTTCAAAAATGATTGTAAAATATGTGGGAAACAGATGAAAAGTTTCAGGCAAGGCATTTTATGAATGCAGCAATTTCTTGATGACTCTTGAATTAGAAGGTACTAGAAACCTCAGCATTCTAAATCTCACATCCTCAAAATAACTCTCTTTACTAACTACACTTTTAAAGATCATATTTCACAATTGAATACTGAGATATCTAGGTGAGAAATGGACTGCAAGGGTGTTAGAGACTCAAGGGAGACAAACACAAGAAGAACCACACAATACCAGACACTCTTCTTTGAGAATCACCTGGACTCAAGCAAGTTTAACTATGGGGACAGAAGCTGACCCAAGAGGGCCCAGGCCCACACTGGGCTAAGAGATCAAAATTGTCTCTTCCAGAAAGTTGGCATTGAGTGGGTGCCCAGCTGGGATGAGATGCAGATTTTGGAGCGGAAAGTGACATTAGAGGGCAACTGAGACTGGACAGTGTGCAATTGAGTTGGGATGGTGATGGGAGATGCCATTATGTATATATGTTTCTCATACTGGTTAATGAATAAAGCACTGTTGGCCAATAGGAGAGGAAGAAAGGAGGGACTAGGAGACAAGGAGGAAAGAGGAAATAGTAAGGAGGAGTCAGCATGGAGAGACTGGGGAGACCAGACGCCTGCCCCACTCCCCTGTAGGTGAAACCACGTGGGAATACATAGAAATGGGTTAATAATTAAGACAGAGCTAGCCGATAAGAAACAAGAAACAGGCCAACAGAATTATATCAAATACAGTCTCTGTGTGTTATTTGGGGCTGGCGTGGCAGCGGCGGGACAAGACTAGGTGGCGGGCAGAAAAACCATACTCCTTACATATGGCGCCCATGTAGCTAATAAGAACTTCCACTTAAAATTTAACAAAAGCTTAAAAAAGGGTTTTAGAAACAAAAGAACAGAGACAAGCGAGGTTTCTTGGTAGCAGCATTTTTCTCGGTTGGACTCTGCTTTGCGAGAGACAAGCAGATATTCGCGCGGCTCCTTTAAGGGAGGATTTCTGACTCAGCATAAGCAGCAAAAAACTGCATGGCTTTTTAAGAAGCACTGCTAACAATTTCTTGGTGTATATGAGAGCTGGTGGTGGCAGTGACCACATCTCCAGGCCTGCAGCATGCTGCTGGGTGGCAGCTTAGACCAAGGTGGTGAACACAGCTCTCACTGCTGGCAGTAAACTGCGGCTAACACAGCTATGATTGTCATTTCAGCAATGTTGTTGTTTACCAGATAAAAGACTCGTGGCCAGAAAAAGATAAAGATTTACAGTAAAGACAGATTCATACTAAGAAAAACCTCTAAAGGTTTACAGTGTGTTTTAAAAAATACGTAGGCTTGGGGAAAAAAATGGTTTTAAAAAGACAGAGAACAGCTGGGTATGGCGGCACATGCCTTTAATTCCAGCACTTGAGAGACAGAGGCAAGCAGATCTTGTGATTTCAAAGTAAACCTGGTTTGCTGAGTAAATCCAGGACAGATAAAAGTTACACAGAGATACTCTGTTTCAAAAAATGAAGAAATAGAAGAAAGAGAGTAATAATAAAGCCACTTAAAGATGGAAAGCTCAGAGAGAATCTGGATACTGTATGGTATTATAATATTGTCTTTGTATTGTTTGACTACTGAGTAAACAACAACTGTTGAAGGAAATGCTGCTAGATTAATTCAATTTATATATTTTAAAAATGATTTGACTTCAAAATTTAAGTTCAAGGACAAGTTACTGGGGAAAAGGATTTCTATTTTTGTTTCCACAGAAAATAAAAAGCTGTGGATTCCTTCCCGACTAATGTGGTTTGATCAAGCCAGACCCCCTGAAACAGTGTTCCTGGTGATCCAACATTCAAAACAGCTTGAACAAAGCAGCCTTGCAGACTACAGCCAGGATTTCTTCATCTTGTTAGGATTCCCCCCCATGACAGCGCCCCCTTTCAGCAGGAAGTAGTTTGGAAAGAACGACGCCCAAATTCCCAAATATTGTTTATAAATGTTTGGGGTTGGTTATAAATGGTTAATGATCACAACCAATATTTTTAAAGGTAAAAAGGGGATTATGGTATAGATATGAATACTTTGTTTTGAATAGATTTTCATTTAGTGATACAATTTAAGGTCAATGTTGTGATGTGTATATTCTCCTTTTGTTTAGGTTTATGTTTATATAGCTCATTTAAAAATGTAATGTATAATTTAGTACAGATTTTAGATAGTTACCTATAATAGTAAAAACTTATAGCTAGGTGAGTTAGGTTTTCTAGATATATAGATATGCATTTGAGATAGATAGGAATTCTTCAAACCTTTCAAAGACCTACAGAATATGGCATTTAAAATAGTTTAGGGTTTTTCTTGACAGTGAGACATAACTGCTCCTGGCAACGCCACCTGCATCAGAAAGGAAGATGGACCTTGAAGAAACGCGTTATGGAGTTTGCTTTCAAATGGCAAGACTAGCCATTTGGACAAGATACTGCTCTTGTCTGGATTGTTTGACATTATGCTGTATAAACTGGACATGCAGGACCCACAGAAAAGTGACTGCTGATTCAAGATGGACATTGCTACAGAGCTCCTGCTTCATGGAAGAGTCTGCCAGATAGTCTGTAGGACACAGAGAAAAATGACTGACAAACTGCCAAGAAGAAAGTTTAAAGTTTCCTAATTTGCTGAAGAGTCTGCTAGACACACTATGGCCTATGGGCTGAAGATGGAAGATTACAGAAGAACTTCTGGTGACTGACCAGGCAAGATGTCTCTGTCTTTTCTAGAGTTTATATACTATCCTTCTGTGGTCTTTAAGGGAGTTGAAGACAAATAGTTATGGTTATAGTTTTCCTTAGTTAGGATTAAAGATAAGTTACATATAGGACTTTAGACTCACAAAGATAGGATAGATGATAAAATATGTCTTTAAATCTTACTAAATGTTAATGGACTAAATATTATTAACTGTGATTTTTATTTGATAACTGTTGTGTGATATATTTTGTTATGTTAAGGTTAAAACCCTTCTTTTTATTTAGACAGAAAAGAGGAGATGATGGGAGATGCCATTATGTATATATGTTTCTCATACTGGTTAATGAATAAAGCACTGTTGGCCAATAGGAAAGGAAGATAGGAAGGACTAGGAGACAAGCAGGAAAGAGGAAGTAATAAGGAGGGGTCAACATGGAGAGTCTGGAGAAGGCAGAACCACTCTCATTGGTAAGACCATGTGGAAATACATAGAAATGGGTTAATACTTAAGACCAAGCTAGCCAATAAGAAACAAGTAACTGGCCAACAGAATTATATCTAATACAGAGTCTCTGTGTGTTAATTGAGGCTGGAGCAGTGGCGGGACAAGACCAGGAGGCAGGTGGAAAAAGCCTACTCCTTACAGGAAGGTTTGTGTTTACAGGGGGCAAAGTTACACACAAGCAACTGGTGTGATCAGCTGTCCCAAGCAAGAAAGGAGAGTAACTTCTTGGTTCATTTCTCAGTTTTCAGTTCTCTCTCTCTCTCTCTCTCTCTCTCTCTCTCTCTCTCTCTCTCTGAAATAGGATTAGGAAAAAGAAAAGCAAAATGAAAAAAACCAAAAAAAAAAAAAAAAAAAAAAAAAAAAACCAAAACAAAACAAAACCAAACCCTGTGTAGTCCTGGCTGTCCTGGAACTCTTTCTGTAGACTAGGCTGGCCTTGAACTCACAGAGATCTGCCTGCCTCTTCTAAGAAGGCAGGGATTGAAGGTGTGTGCTACAATGCCTGGCCTATAGTGCATTCTTAAAGCCAGGTCTTTAGGTATTGCTTCCTGCTGTTGGAGGCTATGAAGCATTCTAGACATTTCCAATGAACTCGTCATCCATCATTATTTTCAAATCTCAGCTAGTTTGAGTGGGTTTCTGTCCCTTGAAAGACAGATTATAAACTAAAAACAACTATTTTGTTTAAGGAAGCCATAGTTATGGGTATGTGTTTTCTCCCTTCTTTTAATTATTACATGGTAGAAATAGTTAGGTTACCATCTTTTCTCTCTTTCTGTCTACTATGCATTCTCTTTCTTTGCTTTCTCTTCCCAAGTACACACACACACACACACACACACACACACACACACACACACACACACACAGAAATCTGAGGATATGGAGCAGAAGAAAAACAAAAAAAGTCTGTACCATCTATATATGATTGTTCCCAAATAATAGAAACTGATTTTTTCCCAGAATTCACATTTTTATCACTAGAAAAGTCTGCTCACAGAGAAAAATAAATAAATAAAACAAAAAAAACCTCTTCTCACAGCTAAGGAGAGATAGCCAATCATACCCAGCAAAAGCCACATGTGTTGGCCCAGTTAGAATGATTTCAGAATTGTAGTACGTGGATCAAAATGCCAGGCCATTTGAAGTGAAAATAGAAATGAAATGTGTTGTGAAGGCTCCAACTGATGATTGGCTAAAGACCATACAGTCCCACTGCTTTCAGAAATGAATTTTATTATCTACCCCAAATCCCGTGCTTTGCCTCTCTCCATGTATTCTTTTATCTGGTATTCCATGTATGAACCTTCATTTGGGGAACTGATGTTCTTGCAAAAGCAAATGAGCCTGCAGTTGCCATGGTCACGAAGTCTGCTGAGGCTGAGGCTATGTCTGCACCTACCCACCCCTGCTGAGCCAGCTGGCTCTAGCAGATGCTTCCACTGTTTCTGATAAACAAACCCCTGCATCTAAATTTCTCTCTTTACCCCTTCCATGCTCTCAAGGCCTCTGCTGTAAAAAGCTAGGCTAGTCTTGATGGAGCATGGCACATTCCAGAGATGTAGCATTTTGGGATCTGGAATATCTGGATGACAGATAGTTGACAGCTGATGGGACTATAGTTAAACTAGGCAAAAGACATGGGTGCACCTGTTCCCAGTCTCAAGATGGTTTAGACTTTAAAAACACAAGTTTTCTACTATGCTCTTAAGCATAGGGACCACCAGGTCTGACACCTTCTCCTGATTGAAGGCCCTTTTAGAAAGTGCATTCAGTTGGTTCTTCAAAAACCCTGGCCTTTTCCTCCTCTTATTCAGAGTGAGTGCCTCCACAGTCCTAGGGGTTGGCCTTGGGTGGAATAGAGGACAGTAGGTACCACCTCTCCCCACCTGGTGATGTCTCCAGTCTGAGCCACTTTACATGGACTAAGCCCTCCCCTACTCCTTAGTAACAACTCTATCCTGGCTACAAACATCTTGCGTTTTCTGTCCTGGCCTTTTCTTCTTCAGTGTTCAGCATTCGATAAGGCCTACACGCTTGCGAAAACAAAATGAACCCAGCTCTCCAAATGTAAACACAAAATACAGTGTGACACCACCTTGTGTCTGTTAAGATAGTTACTAGCCAAACAGAAAATTCAAGTATTAAGAAGGGTGTGAGTGGCTGGAACCCTTGTGTACTGCTGCTGTTTAGAAGGCAAAGTGGTGCAGTTTCCATGAGGAACACTGCAAAGTTTTCTCAAAAACATTGCCAACAGACCTAACTACCTCTACCCCTGGGTATGTACCCAGGCATAGATGACAGGGGCTTGGAAGGACACGTGTGCACTCAGATTCACTGCAGCATTGTTCACAATAGCTAGTGAATGTACACCAGGCAACCAGGTGTGTATCAATTGGCAAGCAAAACGTGGAACAGACACGTAGTCAGCTATCACCTGCCTTGGGAAGGGGATTCAGAGGTAGGCCACAACATGGGAGGACAACATGTGGAGGAAAATGAGCTGGTAACAAATACACAACACTGGGATTTTACTAAGATGAGGTGCATAGAGAAGTCAGTTCCAAAAGGCAGGACATGGGCAGCTCTAGGAACTTACAGGAGAGCTATTATTTGTTGGGTATAAAGTTCTAGTCCTGTTTTCTGTTTTCTTTCTCTTTTTCTTTTTCAGGACAGGAATTCTAGTCCTACAAGATGAAGTGAGTTCTGGAGGTAGATAATGATAATGGCCACACAACAATGAGAATATACTCCATGATTGACCTGGATATTTAATAATGGTAAAATGTTTTATCTGTTTTCCATTTAAAATCTCTCAAATCAAAACTTCATATATCACATTTGTCTGTTGGCTCTTCACTTCCAAAGTAAAATACTGGTAGGTGATGGCCGAGGGGTATTCCACACCTTATGTCACGTGCTGTGGCTGTGTGTGTGGTGGATTAGAATAGTCATCTAACCCTATCACACATAGGGAGAAGTTTATAAAACAGTAGAGCAGAGAATATAAAAGAGTAGATCATGAGAGGAAGCTGACCCCACTCCCTCCTTGGCCTCACCAACACTAGGTGAGTCAAGTGGCAACACTCAGGCCTGACCACAAATTCCATCTCATACCCCCGCTTCTCTGCCTGTTTGGCATGGCCCTGACCTAAACACCAGGGATTTATCTGATTTCCCTCTGCCCTCGTTCGGACTGGCACCTCTTACAATAAGTCACATGTTTTCCTTCCCACCTACTGTACAAAAACTCCTGAAGGCCATAAAACTCAAATAAAGTTCAGATTACAGTGCTGTAAATTCAGACAAAGTTAAACAGCTGCCAGGCCCAGTTTATGACAATTTCAAAAAATACTTGAAATGAGGCATCCTATAGTCTCACAGAACCTCTTCCTGGCTCAGACATTGCCAGCTTTCTCTGACTTTTATTAGTTGCTTTGGGGAATGTTCCACTCAAAATAACCAGGAGCTCCCTGATGCCTCCAGCACAGAGTTCTGTGTGAACTAGCATGGCAGAAGGTCCTGTTGGCCCTGTCCTGGTCGGACTCTCCAGACTCTCTTCCTCCACTGCTCAGCCAAGCAGTACTCACTACTTCTTAGTCACCCCCTGGCCCTTCCACCTTCTTAGCTCTGCACAGTGAGTTCCTTTGGCCCAGGACACCTTCCTTTGCTTGCTGGTGACCCATGTCTATGATGGTATCTTGGATTTCCCTTGGAGCTCTCTCAGAAGACACACTGCAGACAGATTTTTTTGCAAAGGAGGATCCTGCCCACTCCTAAGTGCTTTCCGGGCTAACATGAATCAAGTCTCTAGGATCCAATGGTAAGTCCCTATATAGCACTTATAGTCTGCCCCAATACTGATATGGCCCATTCTGAGCCTCCTCACTACTTCCTCTAGGACTCACAACTTCTCACCCCATGTCAGCATTATCATGTATTTCAGAACAGGTCCTCCCTAAATTATAACTTTCACAGAAAACAGGAGCCATGCCTTACTTCTAGATCCACATTTTCTGTCTTAAGACTTTGCAAATGGCAGATGCTAGATGGACAAATCTTCATGGTTTTGTGGAAGTAACTTGGAGGAGGCAAAGGGGGGCTAGGCACTTTGAGAGCAAAGACAAATTCAGGTGAGCTGAACATAGATTTCTGTGTTCACTGACAGATAAACATTTCTTGAGACTTCAGAGACTGAACTCCTGGAGATAGAGTCTTGGTCAGGAAGGCTGAATATAAAGGCAAGAACAGATCATATGAAACCCAACTCAGGGCATCACATGTTTTCTTCATCTTAAGCCCCGATGGCTTCAATTAATAACAACCTTGACAGAATAGGAAAAACACTCAGAACATTAAGAGCTCCTGGGCTGTCGGGTTAGTCTCATATGCTGCCATGGGCCCTCCTCTTCCTGTTCAATTTCAGATTTATCTTAAAACCACAGCCTACTTTACCTCTAGAGTCCCAGTCAATGTGTGTGATGTAGCTGGAAGCTCCTTTACAGATGCCAACCCTCTTGCTTGTAAGTACGTTGTAAATATCCACGAAGTTATCATGGGATGCCACTGCAAGGTATTTTCCTGTGTCTATAGAGACAAGTTTACAGTAAACAACAACACACTTGATGTAGGAATTCACCTCTAGGAACTTAAGATTTTGAAGTGGGAGAAAGGTCAAAGAAACTTTTAGAACAGTCCATTATTAAAAAAAAAAAAAGTACTGTCTCGATTGCTATTTTTAAAGGTATCTATTACCATCTTCACCTTTTGATTTTTTTTTTTGGACAGGGTTTCTCTGTGTAACAGTCCTGGCTGTCCTGTAGCTCACTCTGTAGACCACGAACTCACAGAGATTTGCCTGCCTCTGCCTCATGAAGGCTGGGATTAAATGCATACATTACCACTGCCTGGCTCACCTTTTGAAAATTTAATGTCAGAGATCATTTCTTTTCTGTGATGGAAGGAGACCATGTCTTCCACAGTATCAGCATTCACCACCAAGAAACTTCCATCATTCAAGCCAACTGCTAAGGCTTTCCCATCAGGGGAGAAAGCACAGCATCTTCCTCCTACATAAGGATCCAAGAAAATCAAAGTTGAGCACTTTGCTGTTGAGCAAAGCAGATGGAGACATGGGAGTAATGTGGATGTTCATGTGTGACTGAGTCTTTAGTACTACTCAGATGGGAATTAAAATTTCACAATTTGGAGATTAGTGAGATAGTTCTGAGGGTAAAAGCATTTTATATACAAGCCTGATGCCCTGAGTTTGAACCTGAGAACCCATGATAGAAGGAGAACACAAACTTCCCAAAATTATCTCAAGTCTTCATGTGTATGTGTGTACATATGACATAATAAATACATATTTTTAAATCTGTGCAAAATATCAAAATTTAAACCCACATACTATCAAAATCATACTTTTAGAGTTGGAGAAATGACTCAAAGGTTAGGAGCACTCATTGCTCTTGCAGAGGACCTCAGTTTGGTTCCCAACTCCCACATCAGTTGGCTTCAGGGAGTCAGACACTTTCTTATGTACACTGTCATACAGATACACATAATTAAAAAATAAATCTTAAAAATAAAATTTTAATTTTCATAGGTTTATTTATTCATTTCTTTATCTTGGAGTATCTGGGCCTTTTAAGGTAGGTGGGTACAAGAGAAGGCTAGTGGATAACATTATCGTCTGAGAAAAGAGGAAACATTCAAGAACATGAGTTCTCCAACAAAATTTCTAGAAACCATTTTTGGGGAATCATGACTGAAATACACATTTGTTTATTTGGAAAACCCCTCATAATTTTAATTTCTCCATTTTGTGGATCATACTGCACAAACAAGTGGTAACTGCTGGTTGTCACCACCCTGTCCGTCCATGCTGCCTTGTGTAGAGGCAGCTCAGTCTAGATTCTGTAGGGATCCATGCCTGTGCTGACAGATGTTAAAAGTTGTATTCATACTAGTAACTTTGAATTGGCTTATGTAAACAATATCTCCATTCATTTGTCCACTTAATCCTTATTCACCTGCTGAGTCAGTCATGCTGCTGGCAGTGAGACAATACAAAGACTATCTTGCCCTAGGGAGCATCATCAGGGTGGGGTAAACCACACTTACTGCACAAACTGGGCCATGTTTCAGGGTGAAAGGAGAGATGTTAATAATTATACCAAGATAGCAAGAGAAACTGGGTTGAACTATCATTTAAGGGCAATAGTTGCTCTTTTGAACAAATTTTTAACTTAGGGATGAGGTTAAAAATTGACTAGCTTCCACAACAAGGTCCTAGTTTCGTTTCACCAATGCAAGTTAGTGAGCAAGATGATTCTATTGTCCAGAGCATGGCTTTGGACTTGGTTGAAATTCTTGCTCCATCATCTACTAGGTTCCCTGGTAGGTATCCAGGGAAAAGTGAGGCAATGTGGAGAGGTAGTGACAACCAGGGCACAGGTTGTTCTGTGAGGCCACCATTCTGCAATGTACATCCAGTTTCACTATTAGTTAGATGACATTTGTCTCCATTTCTGAACCTGGAAAAGATGAGAATGATAGATAGCCTGGTTCACTGGGTCTCTGCAGAGTAAAAGTGATGTGTAGCTTGGTCTCTAGCTCACAACTGTTACTACCAGCTCTATGCTTGCATTTCGCAAGATTCCTTTAGACTCTCCCCCATCTGCAGAATGATTAAGCACAAATGCCGAAGGGCCAGGACTCAAGCTCAGCCTTTCCTGCCTTAAGAATTTTTGTGACCATGAAGCTCAGTTCCCAAGAAAGCAGTCCAAGCAGTGGGTCTGAGCTGAACTTCCATGGTCCCTTGTTCCTGTGGGATCGCCATTCCACCCTTCATCCATTTTCACCTGTCTGAGTACATTGTGTCAGGAGCTCCCTGGCCTCTTGGTGTCTGTGTGGGTTTGGTCAAGATGGAGCATGGTAAGACTAGAAGGTGGAGGACTAGAAGGCTAGAATGTTCACTCCTATGGCCTCCTCTGCAAAGCCCATCTCACACATTTCTCACTCCCCATTCCACCAACCACTTTGTCCTTTTGTCTTTTCAAGTCCAGGCCTGGCAATGGCACCTGCAGTTACTAATGGCAGAGCACTGCACTATTCCTGGTCATTTCAACCCTATTCACCCCTTTATAAAGAGTCCTATTTTTAGATTCCTCTCAAATTACCCAAGTAAGCAGGCCAGCTGCTGCTGGGACTCCTTTCAAATTTCATGTTCTCTGTGGGATCCTTCAGACCTGGCATATAGAGCCACTCAAGAAGCCTTTGCTGAGCTGACTCCTCCTGCTGAACCTACTGTGTACAGATGTCCAACACACATTAATGATGTCAACTATTTTTGTCTATCATGTTGTTAGTCATAGCGATAATAGTAGTTTTCTTCATTCAGCTCTCAATGGGGAAGGATACAGCCCCAGGTGGCCAGCACCTGTGCAGTACAAACAAAGTGAACGTTGCTGGGGCAATTTGAGAGCCAAACAGCCTCTGGAAAATCTTTGTGCTCTTAGTTTTAACTTCATGGTCAACTCTGAATTTCCTTGCTTAGGATATTTTTGGGGTGTGTAAAAGGTACTCTTATTCCACAGTAGTTGATGAATGAGTGAGTCCAATATAGTCTGTTGCATGTAGACAGATTCCTTTGTACGTGAAGAGATATTGTGTACCTTTTTTAAGTTTCCGTACTGCCAGCATCCGGTGCTGGGAGGATAATTCCCAGATCCGAAGGGTTTTGTCATCGCTCACTGTTGCACAGATAGGCAGGAGAGGATGTGCTGCCAGTCCCCACACTTCCCCTTCCATGTGTCCCTGTGGGAGAGGAAATAGGGCAAAGTAAACTCATGCTTTCTGGCAAGACTGTCTTCAACTCATGCATCTTTAGGCTGAGTGTGCCTCAGACACATGAACAAATAATTTCCTTGAGCCAAGAGGGCTGCACTAATCCATCTCTTATGGGTGTTTATAATACAATCACTCTTTTAGAAAGGAAAAAAAATATATAGATTAGTGTGGAAGACATTTTTCTGTGTGGCAACAAATATCCAGGTAGGTTGTAAAATTCCTACCCTTTCCCTTGTTTTGGGTGCATGATTATCTACACAGTGTGTTTGTGTTTGGCCAGAGGTTACCAGTTCTTAATTGCTTTTCTCTTTAACCTTTGGGAAAAAAACGGGGGCTCCTCAGTGATTTAGTTAGGTTGGCTGATCAATGAGCTCCAGGGAACCACCGGTCTCTTCCCAGCTACAGCCTTGGAGTTTTAGATGCATGCCACTACATTTTTTACTCTTTTTAAGTGGGTCCTGAGGATCCCAATTCAGGGCCTCATGCTTGCATAGCAAGTACCTTAACCACTGAGATCTCCCTGGATCCGTATCCTGCTTTAACTGCTGAAACACACTATGTAAACACACTGTGGTGAAACAACTTGATCACAGAGACATCAACAATTGCCTTTGGTGAAAACATACTCTAAGGTGTAGATGTCAACCATTATTGTCATGGAATAGACAGCACCATGCTTGTTCATACAACTTTAGTCTTTCAAGTTCAGTGGACGTGGTTCTCCTGCCCCCTTACTAGGATTGAACCTAGGGCCTCATATACGCAACTTTAAACGTTCTATCACTGATCTGAAGGGTGCATTTAGTCTTGATGAAAAGAAATAAAGCTAAATTTTGACTCAGAAAGTCATAGGTGCAGCTCAGATTCAGTATTTGTTCATAAACGTGTTTGCCTATGTGCTAATAGTACTCACCAGTAAGCTGAAAGCTGTGTAATAACACACACAGAAGCAATTCCATAACCCATATCTTATCACAAACAAACACTCTTACTGACTTAGAAACAGTAATTGAGATAAAACAGTGGTGGTGGTGGTACATGTCTTTAATCCCAAAACTCGGGAGGCAGGGGTAAGTAAATCTCTGTGAGTTCAACACTAGCCTGGTCTACAGAGCAAGTTCCAGGAACTACACAGAGAAATCCCATCTAAAACAAAACAAAACAACAACAAAAATAAAACCAAATCTCAGTATTTTAACTATCAACATTTAACATGAAGAAAAAAATAATTTATCCCTCAATATAGTAGCATAGAGAAGAGATTAGTACCATCCTGTAATAAACAGATCACTAACTAAGCTGAACTGGAATCCAGATGCAGAGAGGGAGGAGTGATAAGAAAATGGGTCAAGACCAGGCTAAAGAAACCCACAGAGACAGCTGACCTGAACAAGGGGGAGCTAATGGACCCCTGGGAAACCAGCATTGAACCAATTCAGACTCCCTGAACATGGGTCTCAGAACGTCTGGGCAGTCTAAGGGACCTCTGATAGTGGAACCAGGATGTATACCTGGTGCACAAAAGGACTTTGGGAACATATTCCCCATGGAAGGATACTTACTCCCTTAACCTAGAGGCAGGAGTGGGGGGGGGCGCTAGTCCCTACTCCAAATGACTTGACAGATTTTGTTGATCCCTCCTGGAAGGCATCACCCTCCCTGTGGAGTTGGGGGGTGGATGGGAATGGGATGGAAAACATTTAATTTTCAAACATTTTCAAACTTTTGAGGGTTAAAATATGCTTTTCCATAATATTAACTAAGTTGTGACCAGAAAGAGTGAAAAATTAGTCTGCAAGGGACCAAGAGAAGCAAAGACATGGAGAACAAAGGGCTGCCTCTAACATGGCTCCCACAGGGCCTGCACAGTGAGACATAGGGGTTTCAGGTTTATTTTAATCAGATTTCTAAAAGAAGGTTTAATGTATCTGTTATCTATCTTGTTTGTTTTAGTACACACATTATTTTTAAATTTTTTTTTAAAATTTAACTTTATTTTATATGCTTTGGTGTTTTGCCATAGGTGTCAGATCCTCTGGAACCAGAGTTCCAGACAGTTGTGAGCTGCCATGTGGGTGCTGGGAATTAAACCCAAGTCTCCTAGAAGAATAGCTGATTCTCTTAACTACCAATCCATCTCTCCAGCCCTCATACATATCATTTTTAAAAAGCCTTTGTTCACCTCCTTCCCTACCCCCTCTTTCTGATTCCCCTTTGAACTTTCTTTTCCATTCAATTCCCTTCCTCAATCCATTTCCCACCCCTCCCCCTCAGTGACTACCTTATGTGTTTCATAGGCTACAGCCCCATGGCCAGTGTCCATGCACACATAAACATATATGCTGGGGTTTGTACATGACAGAGGATATACAACTTTTGTTTTCTTGAGTCCAGTTTACCTTATTCATTATCCAGTTTCATTTATTTTCCTGCAAATTACAACTGAATAAAATTTGAGTAAATAACATTTTCTTTAACATCCACTAGTCTCAGCTTCCATTCCTTTGCTATTGTGAAAAAGAGAGGGATGAAACATGCTTGTGCAGGTGTCTCTACAGGAGGGTACCATTCTTGGGTGTACAGCTGGGTTTATAGCTGTGTTATATGGAAGTTCTACTTTAAAGTTCTTGAGAACCCTACATACTTCTTTCCTAAATGACTGAACTGGTTTACACTCCCAGCAACAGTAAATAAGGGGTTCTCTTTTTCTCCCATATCTATGCGTTGTGGAATATTTATTTAACTATGCAAGGATATGCTGTATTTGTTTAACTATATAAAGATGTGTTGTATTTGCTTATGCTGCAAAATATTTGTTTATCTATGTAAAGATGTGTTGCAATTTGTTTATGTTGTGGAATATTTAAATATGTAAAAATGTGTTACATTTGTTTCATTATATAAAGATGTGTTGCTGCTTTCTGTTGCCTGCCTAAGTCACCTGATTGGTCTAATAAAAAGTTAAATGGCCAATAGCAAAGGAGGAGTTACAGGTGGAACTTCTGGGTAGGGAGTAAGTAGGAGGAGGAATTTAGGAGGAAGAAAAAGGTGACCACAGGGGCCAGTCAGCCAGACTCAGGGGAAGCCAGAAAGCAAGACATACAGAATGAAAGGAAGGTAAAAAGCCTCAAGGCAAAATGTAGATGAATTGAAACAGGTTAAATTAAGTTAAAAGAGCTTGCATGACAAGCCTAAGCTAAGGCTGAGCATTCATAATTAGTTATATATCTCCGTGTCATAATTTGGGAGCTGGCTGACATGCTAGCATTTTTTGTTTTTTAGTGGTAGCCATTTGAGATGGGACCTCACAGTTATTTAATTTCCCTGATAGCTAAGGGTGTTCAACATCTTTAAAAATACTTATTGTCTATTTTTGTTTCTTCTATTGAAAACTGTCTGTTAATTAGCCCATTTGTTGACTGGCAGGGTTTTCTTTTCATATTTGACTTGCAATTATTATCAATAGAAACCACAATGAGCCCATTTCTTCATTTTAGTGTCTAAACACATCCTCATGGGTCACTATGCCTCTTCATCTGCAAAGATGTGTGCGTGCGTGTGTGTGTGTGTGTGTGTGTGTGTGATGACAGAACAGGCAGGACTCCTCCCACCAAACATTTATGTGCTGTTTAAATCTGATTCTACATGAGTATGTATCCTGGGAAAGGGGGTTGAGGAGAACATAATGTGATGTGTGAAGCAAGGCCTAAAGAAGTAGGTCGGGAACAGCAAAATTATGATCAGTTTTTAAAAAAATTATCACCAGTTTTATGCATCAACAGATCAGAAGGAGCTATATCTAAGGTGAGTCATCTACACTTGGGTCTAATTTGAATAATAAGATTCTGAACTTTGAGCATGTATTATCAAGGGAGTAGGTTCTTGAGACTATAGACATAGGTTTCATATGTGGCTGGGATATCTGTTAACTGGTGGCAGAGGAGGAGGAGTACAACAGACAAGCTCCTGGGGCAATACCTCAAAGCCCCCTGATCTTCAAAGCCTATAATAATCTCCTTTTGAGTGTGGCTTGATTCTAACCAGTGGAATGTGGCAAAGGTGACAGAAAGTTCCAAGGAATGTGACATAATTAAGTTGCATAAGATCATGGTGATATTTATTTGTTTATTTTTTCCTTGTTTGCTTTGAAAAACTAACTGTGTGAGAAATCTTATGTATCTCAATGAACTCTGGGCTGATACGTGACTTGACTGAGGGTAGCCTCTGGACAACAGCTGGCAAGAAAATAAATGCCAGTCCAACAGCCACAGGAACTAAATTCTGCCAACTGCCTAAGAGGCCAAGAGCTGGAAGACACTCCCTGCTCTGCTGAGCCCCAGCCTTGAGCAACACAAGTGGAAGAACCAGTTCAGCTGTGTTTAGACTCCTGGCCCACAGAGGTGGTGAGGTTAGAATGAGTGCTGTTGCTGGTCCATGGCTGTGTCCAGCACACCAACAGTCAGTGACAGCACACTGAGCACCACAGGACTTTCTATGGAACCTTTTTCATCCCACACCATTCTAAGCCTTGACACGAACATGGTTTGCAACATATACAAATGAGTTACCTGAACAAGCAGTGTCATTGGGCCACTCTTATCAATTTCTAGAATCTCTCCATTTTTTGTCCCCACAAGAATGTGTCCATGGCCCAGGGTGATGGCACGAATTGAAGGGTTATCCTCCAAAAGCAGGCCTGAGGGGAAAATGCTGAATTTAGTAAACACCATGAAGGCAGGTTAACATAGTGTTTTCTATTTCTAAAGTGCTAGTTAGGTACTAGACAATCATCTTTGATGCTTGCCAATCTGATTGGCTACGAACCACTACTACAAGTAGTTGGCACCACTGCCCAATTCCTGTGAATAGAATGTTTTTGGTTGCATATTCAGGGTGGTACCTTTAGAGCTAGTTGAGAGCGCAGCCCTTTTGATCGCATAGGTCTTCAAGCATCTTTCAAACATGTCATCCCAGAGTTCCACAACCCCATCTTTCCCACCTGTTACAAAGCCCTGTGAATGTAAAAGTTTATATGTTCACATCAATATGACCAATCACTTTCCTGGTCCCACCAGGAGTTCCCTTTATGTCAGGCAGCTCCAGGTATATCTTCTAAGTGGAAAAAAAATATCCAGTGCTAACAGTCTTTTACATTTTTTCATTGTTTTATGTGTGTGAGCATTTTGCCTGCATGTATATCTGTGCACCAGGAGCGTGAAGTGTGTGTGGAGGCCAGAAAAGGGTCCCCAAGAACTAAAATTTTAGATGATTGTGAGCCACCATATGAGTACTAGGAGTCAAACCTGAGTCCTTTTAACCACTGAGCCAATTCTCCAACCCGTCAATCTTTTAATTCAACACATTTCAATTAAGCTCACAGAAAACCATAGTTTGAAGTTTATTATAGTAAATACCCTTTTTCTTATAGCTGCTCTCTGCATCTTTGGATTCTATGTTCACAGATTGAGACTGTGAGGGAAGCACAGCACTGTATCTGTGTTGAACATTCACAGGCATTTTTCTTGTCCTTATTTTCCTAATGCAGAACTACAATGGCTTGCATAGCATTTATATTGCATTAGCTGTTATAAGTTATCTAGATAGGATTCAAAGTACACAGTGGTGTATTTGTAATTCTAAGTACATGGTGTGTGTGTGTACACATGTATATACACACCTAGGATATAGGCAAATAGCATTCCTCATTTTTATATGAGGAACCTGAGGACCTTTGGCTCTTGGTAGTCCCCTAGGGTTCTAGAGACAACTTCAGAGGATACTGAGAATAGAACTTCTTGCTAGAACTTCAGCAAGGAGAGTCACTCCTCAAATTAACTATAAACACAGTATATTGTATTGAACTATTCTTGTTTTTCATCTTAATTTCTTAAATAATAAAAGCATTTGAATAGGTTATCACACTGACTTCTAGGACTCCACTTATAATTTAGCCAAAATCAAATTTGCCAGCAACTACAAAAATTATCATTATAACTGCACTTCCAATAAAGACCTACCTTTGTTGTGGGCTCAACATATTTATTGATACATTTAAAAACTTGATATATTTTAGAATTATGTTGAGTAGCTTAAACTGAAGGTCAGAGAGCCCAGATGAACTGGTACTACCAACAAATAGAACTGAATGAAAAAGGTTGTCATTTTCAGGTATATTAATTGAGAGAAAGAGCTTTAAATATACTGTTAAGTATGTCTTTGTAAAGAACACTGTGAGGCAGACTAGGACAATGACCTGGAGTGGAAATACAGCCCGTCATATACTTCACTTGAACACTCCTGGCAATTGAACCTGTCTGTTCATAAAAATGAACATAACCTTCCTTTAGTCATAACGAACCAACATGTGGGACAATAAGGTCACCACTTGGTGCTTCCAGGTCTTTGCATACTGTGTCACTGTAAAGGAAGACATCACTGAAATATGCCTGTGGTCTCTTTTGCTGTTGTGTGTCCACATCTACTCTCAGACTCTTTAAGAGACTCCTAGCAGTGACAGCCAAGAAGTCCAGATATGAAAAATGGAGAAACAGTACATGAACAGCTATGAACAAAAGAAATGATAAAAATTGTGTGTTCTCTTCCTTATTGTCCTTTGGTTAGTCCTCTCTGACAACCACATCCTAATTCAGATAGGATTATTATTATTATTATTATTTTTTTGGTTCAGGCATCTTAGTTGTTCTTCTGAAGCTGAAAAGGAAAATGAACCTGATAAACATATCATACCTTGTCTAGGGCATACATAGCAAATACGGGTCCATCATGAGCTTTCACTGTCTTCAGTAGTAGAACATCCTTCCAGATAAAAATGTCTCCAGTGGCTGCCCCTGAGAACACTAGATCTTCCATTCGCCCATAAGAAGCACACATCATTGTTTCCAATTTTCCAGCATTTCCAAAGATTCCTTTTTTTGAGGTGAAGCCCCCACCTGGAGAGGACAAGGGTATATATTACCTTAGAAAGTTGGAGCTTCCACAGAGCACATGTAAGGATTATTTTGAGTAAAAACTGTCTACAGTAAGTGTCAAAGTAACAAAAACAACAAGAATGTCGTGAGAATGTTCAGCCACTCTCTCAGGATCTACAGGATTCCTGTTTTCTGTTTGTCAGACATGGTGCTCAACACCAGCTATAATACAAGGATAGAGTTTCTGTTTTAATGAACCTCGATCTAGTTAGATGGAGGATTTAATATGCCCTCTATTCCGACACACATACAACCTAAGTGTAAGTCCTCCTCCCTGTGCTGAAAGACAGCATGACTCAGGGCTCAGGGAACAAGGATAGCCTCAATGAAATTGAAGAAAAGAATATGTATGTGTGAAATGTAATTGTATATGTTCTCCCTCAATTTTTTTCATGGTGATTCTGGAATAAGAAGGAACTGTTGTATCAGAGAGGTAATATACAGGAACAATTCATCAGATTGATGCCCTAGGTTTTCCCATTTCCTATATTCTCAGACCATCGCTGATAACTCAGTTCCATTTAAGACAATTATATCCAGCTGACTTCTACATACTCGGGGTGGTACCACTGTCCTTCATTTAAAAGAGGAAAGCAGAGAGTACAGTACATGCTCATTGTACTATTGGGCTCAGTACTAAGAATTCAGATATAATTGTAACAGTGCCTGCATGCAAGGAGTCCACTGTTCCCATGTTTATTCATGTTTATTTATTCCTCAATTTTGTCAACATAAAATTTAACAAATACTTATATTGATCACCTTCCATATACAGAGTCATATGCTAAATTTGGCATTGTATTAATAAAAGAATCCTCAAAATATTGGAAACATTATTCACTCAGCCAAAGTAATTATTTCCTACTCAGCACTACAACATAATTATTGCTTTCAGTTCAGATGGCTAAATATAAAATCATTATTTTCACAGCAGAATATTTTCAAAAGCTTTCTAGACACTGATAAATATGCATAGAATCATATAGGGTTTTAAGTTTCACATTTTATGCAATAATTAGTTCAATGCAAAATTGGGAGAGAGTATTTATCAAGCAAATTTTAATGTTAGTTTGCAGAGAGACTGGCCACATAAAGGCAATAGGACCCCTCATCCCAAAGCAAGGGTACAGTTCTCAGCTAAACCCAAATAACAATGTAATAGTACCTGCTTGTTGCCAGAATTTGATATGCTTAATCCCAACTGTAACCATCTTGTCAACATGGTGTGGATTACACTTTACCACAAATATTTTATCTTTATGTCCTCTGTAAGAGACAAACAGAGAAAAATAACCTCTAGTATAAATGAAAGCATTGATAGAATTATATTAAAAAACGTATTTGGCTTAGTTTTTATTAAGTGTATCTAACAGGATGAACAAGCAAACCAAGAAAATATTTTAAACACACAGGAGTCTATTATAAAATAATAGCACTGTGTGGGGGTTGTGTACATGTTTGAGCCTACCCTAATATCCCCACCTTTGTCTCCATAAGATAAAATTAATGACAGCACCATAGGATTTTATGTAATTCTTAGATAGTGAGATCGTAGGCAGAAGAAATCGAAATAGACAATGAAAAGCTTCAAATGAACATTTTGGCTAGAAATATATTCACTATATATTGAGTTCCCTGGCTCACAAGCCATTGAGAGAGAAAGGATGTTATCTACGGATTCAGGACACTTAAGTTTATTTCCTGGCAAGATGTGTCCACTGGTATAATGTAGTATGGCTGTTATGGAGGTAACCAACCACTATGTGTAAGAATGACTCCACAGGAGGGAATGCATGCCTTGTGCTGTAAACCTGGTAAAGTCTGTGGCTGGGGAGGCCTCAGGCCATAATGGGGAAGTTCCTGATGTTTTGCTAAATGGACATGATGCCCCTTGTCAAACTGTTTTTTAAATATTCCGTTTATGCTTATAGTTTAGTGCTATTCTCAGCTTGGGTTAGAGAACTTTTGTAGTTGGTAGACATTATTGCAGAGGTTCATAACTAGTCAAAACGCTTAGAATAAGTGACTATTGAATACAAGCCCTGTATGGGACATCTATATCACCCTTCCTAGGCTCAGGAAACATTGAAAGAGAAGGGTAGGAAACAGTGTGTTGTGCAACACTGTCTTTCAGGCACTCTTGAATTCTCAGCTTCTGTGACTACCTGCATAAAGCCTACAGGGAAAGGGCCCATCAACAATCCATCATGAAGGTGAAGGGTGGGTAAGAGGCCTTGGCTCTTTGTGCATTTATAGGCAGCTAATGATTGATAAGAAGAGACATATTCAGTCTTGTATATAATCCCTCACCTATGCTGCTATAAGTTATCCTAAAACACACACACACACACCATAAAATCAGAAGTTGACTAGTTGGGAACAAGTGAGAAGGGAACAAGAGAAAATCAAAATATATTATCTACATGTATGAACATATTATAATGAAACCCATTATTATGTAAAATTAATGTGCTATTGCAGTGCTTAAAAATAAAGTAGGTATATCAGTAATTTCTTTTTAAAGTAAAAAGAAATTTAGTTTTGTAACTAGACAGATAAACATAATCTAAAAATTCCATTTGTAAACAGGCGGCTGCAAGCATTCATGAAATTAGCAATGGTACAAATACATGCAAACAGAGAGACTCAGACCTTGGTGGAGATATTACATGACCTCATTTTGTATTCTGAATGTCTTTCTATTTCCTTAAGCTGATAATGAGCAGACTCACATAAATGCTGTCAGAAGTGAAGGATGATTCCAAGAGTACAGTTAGGTGCAGATGGTACATGTGAACACTGGCTATCTCAGCAATCCACTGTGCCCCATCCCCAAGGGGTTGTTCTCAACCCGGTGTTATAGAGCAACTGTGCTGCCAGACAGGCTGCCATAGCTGGATCAAGGCTGGCAATAACTGAGACTCCACAGGGCAGGTTAGAGCATGTGGCCCCTCTGCAGGGATTCTTCAGAAGCTAAGAGAGGTTTGGAAGCCAGGATGGGGCCACTTCATATAGCATGCTTTCTGTCACCTGGTTTTAGATTCTTATCTACAACAGCACCTCACTTAAGGCTACACTACATTTTTTTTAAAACTTAACTAGTTAGTTATTTGTATATTTGTGCAGATAGCATTAATACTATGTAAATATTTGCATTTATTCAGTATTCTAAAAAATATAGTATTCTCCCACAGAGTTTTTACTGAATTACGGCCTTCTACTTGGGAAAAAAATACTGATTAATGCCATCATTACAATAAATAAATAAATAAATAAAATAAAGAAGAAAAAGCTGTTAGAGGGCAATCCTTTCTGCAGGTTTCCCATCTTTGTAGGACACTGTCTAGGAGAACAATTGAAACAAAAACTTTGTTACTAACATGATGGAATTAGCTTGCTTTGTGCTAATTAAAAGAAGTGATCCTATTCACAAGCCTGTAAAATATATATATATATATATATATATATATATATATATTGATTCAATATTAAATACTAAGATGTACTCCTTCTATTTCTCATAGTGTCTCTGACATGCAACTGCAAAGCTGATCCTTGAGTTCTCAATGCTGACACAGACTTTTCTGGAGGTAATGCATAAATGCAGAGTACCTGATAGAATACCAAATTAAAATTCAGTTTTCAGTCTGGGAGGAAAACAGCCTCGAGGAGAGTGGGGCTATCGTGAGGGACACCAGAAAGAAAGAAAATAAAACATGCATGCAAGTGGATCTATGAGTGTCACGGCTGCCAAGAATTCCATTTCAACAGCTACCACAAAGCAACTTCACTCCTTTTGAGGTCAGCTGCAGTCCCTGCAGCAATTTGTAGATTTTCGTCCATTACTGTCAACTGCCAAAAACTTTTGTTCCCATGTAACATTGGAGTAGACAGTATTAATTTAAAAAGCAAATATTACAGTTCAAGGAATTAACTTTGCTATTGTTATTGGTAATGTAAGTCATAATTAACAGAGAGGGTATGAAACTGTGCCTGGGCAACAGGCTGCCTTCCTGGACTGTGGCTGCCAAATGTTGACCTCTGACTGGGCCATGCACATGGCTAAGCCAGATGAAAGTAGACGGTCATGTTCAGACTTAGTGCTGAGGAGGCAGAAAGAGAAGCTGGGGTAAGGGAGGACAGGTGGGCTGTAAACAGCAGTCGGTCTTGAGAGTCTATTTATAGGGTGTGGAGATTACGGAAACAATTTGCCTGCTCTGAAAGCAAGCAGCAGATGCACTCGATAGGGCCTCCTTTCCAACAGGCCATAGCCTCATGACAAATGGTACTTCTGACTCCAATGACATTGACAATCCTTCCCAGCCACTAAGACAGAAAAAACAAGAGGTGAGGTACACATTTTTCTGCTGCTGGAAAAAAGTTTTTATAGAGATAATGGAAGTAGAAGTGTGAATGAAGAGCTGTCTGGGGAGCATTCTAGAATTTTCCAATTTCCCATCAGACATTAATGCTGAACATTTGGCTTGGCACCATGAAAGGGAGTGATACATGTTCACTTAGGTGTTAAGTTTCCACATGAATTTCATCTGCGTTTGAAGATGATTGCCAAACAAAAATTGGAAACTATTGCTCTTCACTGATGTGAGCTAGCAGTAGTATGCCCTGTGGATCCTTACCTGGTTGTGGCTATCTTTTCTCCCTTTTTCCAGTCCCAAAACACAACACTGTGAAAATCGTCTAAACCAATGGACACCAGACATTTTCCATCAGCTGTATGAAAACAACACAAATGTCAAACAAGCCATTTCTTCGCAAGAATCTGAAACAGTTTATATACTGCAAAGAGGAGCAAGAAATTCAACAATACTCTTTATGCTCAAATACATTTGAAACAGAGTAAAATGTGTGACCAATAACAGTTCAGTTTCTGAATGCACACCATGGCTAGTGAGCTCAGCCACTGACTAGACCCCAACAAGGCAGAATCAGCAGGACCCCTCAAGGAAGCAACATGAGCCTTATTCATTCTGTGACAGACAATTCTTAGGAACTACTGGAAGGGCATCATTTGGCTCTGTGACTCTGGGGCTATTTTCAACTCAAAAACCTAACTTTGTTCTAACTGTCAAGTTAAGAACATTATAGAAATAAAATGTAGCTTCAAACGTTCTTACAGAAGATGACCTACCAACTAAAAGTTCTTGATTGCTTATTTTTCCAGTTCAAAAGAAATGTGCTCATTATAAACATTTATGAAATATGTGTGAAGAAAAGTTAAGCTGGGGAAGTAGCTCATTAGTGCAGAGCTTGCCTGACAAGAGTGGTCCTGAGTTTGGGCCCAAGAATCATACACATACAAAATTACTAACTGTACACACATACACACATGTACACCCATTCTTCCAAATCTTTTGTAGTCCTACCCCTGATATAAACTACTTGTCTTTTTCACTGCATATAGCTGTACTTGGAATTTTCTTTGGGCTGCTAACCAGCTCCCAAATAAAAACACAGAGAAAGCAGGAAAGCAGAATGAACAATACATAGATGAGGTAAAAGAGCCTCAGGGTAGCTCACAGATTCATAGAAAATGGGTTCAGTTGCCAGGAGGTGGTGGCACATGTCTTTAATTCCAGCACTTAGGAAGCAGAGTGGGCAGATGACTATGAGTTTGAGGCCAGCCTGGTCTACAGATAAGAGTTTCAGGACAGCCAGGGCTACATAGAGGAACCCTGTCTTGAAAAACAAAATGAAACAAACAAAAAAAGAAACGGCTTCATTTAAGTTAACAAACAAATAAAAACAAACAAGAAAAACTAGCTAGAAATGAACCTAAGCTAAGGTCAAGCATTCATAATGAATAAGTCTTCATGTCATGATTGGGTTGGGAGCTGTTGGTCCAAGAAAGCCTGCTACATGAATCTCTTTTGGGAAACAAAATCAAGGTCATACTGACCAAGCCATCAGCTAATATTTTCTCACCTATTGTAATACATTGTTATTAATAATACTATTGTAATAACTTTATTATAAAATATTTATACTATTATAAACTATTGCTACAATTTTGACAGGCTATCTTTTAAGTTCTAGTGAACATACAATTAAATTTGAAATGAATATAGTTAATGTATGCATTTTCCCTTCAAGATGGAAGAGGAGCCACAATCAATAAGCATTTCCTTTTGCCTCCTTGCAAGGCTGGGTTCAAAGAAGCAGTGTGGTAGGGCCAGCACCCCTTCCTCCCACCACTGTGCAGTTGTTAGGAGATTCTGCATCAGTTAATCAAGATCTTCTGTCCTTCTACAAAGGGCCATCATTAAGGTAAAGACACAAGGATGTGAGAAACTGCCTTCTTGGGTTGGCTCATCCATCCAAAATGTCAACCCTTACTTTCAAAGGCAGGTCAGGGATAGACCCCAAACTAGGGTAAAGTAGAGGAAGTCTTATCAAACTTGAATTTCATAGAAGCAATGAAAAAATTTCTTATGCGTCTCATGTAGTCTCTGAATTGGCACTGCATATTTATACTTATGTTACACAAAACTTATGTTAAATAAATTCTTATTAAAAATTCAAATCTACTTGAGCCTCCTGCATTTTTACAGGCTAAATTTTTGGCAACTCAACTTCAAGTGCTAACCTATGTCCAAACTTTGAGTAGCCTCCCTTGTGCAGAGACCCTGTAGCCAAATGGAAATGATGGTCTCTCCCACTGTCTGGAGGAAAGACAGGAAGGGAAATAGACTCTGGCTTAACAGAGCATATCTTCCCAACCATCACCCACCAGGCCCTTCTGAGGCTAGGATTTAAAGATTACCCAGACCCTTCTCAAGACACAAGTTGAGAGTTCATCACTTGAAGGCATTGACAATGTGTTAAAAGAGTCAGTCACCATTAAGTGAGCACAGTAAGTTTATGATCAGGCTCCTTATTCCTAAAGGACACCAAGCTTTAAGTGAGACGGTCTCTCAGCATTGTGGAGCATCCACATTACCACACGTTACTTAATTTTTGGTATGACCTGTCTGTATTTATACTAGTGAACTTCACTTTTGGTGACTTTATCTTTTGTATTTTTTTTCCTCTTCCTCTAAGATCATGCATTCTTTCAAGGCTCGTAGTAAGCAGGTCATGTTTTGAAACCCTACACTGAGCTGTTTTGGGTACATGCTGGTAATGCTGGTGATGACAAAGATAGTATGTGCCTATGGGTAGTACAAATGGAAAGGAACTGTACTGTTATATGACTATTTTAAACACCATCATTCCTTTAGAAAACACAGCACAAATAAGTATCTTTTTTCTGTACCAGCTCGTTCTAAAGTGCACACTGTCTCCCAAATGCTGTCTTGATATGTCAGCCTTACATCTAAAATGTCAGTTTTATTTCTGTCTTCTGAAGCCCCATAACTAAGCAGATTGATTTTGTGGGGAAGTTCTGGGGATTTCTTTTTAGAATTTCTGTGAGGTAATCCACCATCTCACCCTCACAGTTATGTGACCTTTCTACCCCAACAAAAACTTACTTTTCTTGGGTAGGGAGTTTCTTGGGTTCTGTAGGTAAAACAATTTCTATAAAATACACTATCTAGAAATAAAAATAAAAATAAAAAAGAGCCTTGGCTTTACCTTTGAAAATCTATTGTTTCCAACCATTGTGTGTGTGTATGTGGTTTTTTTTTTTTTATTTTATAGTCTAATAGTCTAAATGATGTTCTTTTCAGTCTTTCTAGGCACAGCATGACTTAATTTTGGATGGTTGTGACATCTTAGAAATAGTCCTAAGGACCCATGGTCCAGTAAACAGAACCTCTGACAGGAAAATAAGTAAGTAAGTAAATAAATAAATAGTCCTAAGGCAGTTAATGTCAACTGTGAAGAGCAAATTAGAAAAAAAGAACATCATTCAGACAATTACAAATTGGTCTTTCTATTCAGGAATCCTTGAAAATGCTTAGGTTTCCTTGGTGGGTAATGATGTCAACATCATTGTATGGCATCCTTTAAACACTATGCAGTTGACATTTAAGATACAAAATATTTATGAAGCTGAACGTTTCCTAATTGGGTTTTCTATGCCATGTGGAAGTACTTACACTGTCACAAAACAAAAATGGTCCCCCATGCTCCCTAGAAGTGATAATAGTTAAAGTAGGAGCTAAAGGGTTGGTGAGAGGGCTCAGTCAGTAAAGGTGCTTGCCAGGAAGCCTGGCAACCCAAGTTTGATCCTGGGACCCATACAGTGGAAGGAGAGAATTGATCCTTCAGGATTGTTCTTTGACCTTCACATATATGTCATGGATTACACACATGGGCACAAATAAATAAATGTAATTTTAAAACTGCTGCTCAGTTGAATGAGAAAATATAAATTCACTCTTTGCCAATGTTTAAAGAAGTATCTTTGTTTCCTTTTGAACAGTGGTAAGAATACTTTGATTCATTCCCTGTTGTGTAACTGTATGAGTTGCCTTGTTTTCACACTGGCCTGCTTTATATGCCCAAGTATGGCAGACTGTTATTTTAAGGTGTGTTACTTTTGTTTATGCTGTATTTGTTTAATTCTGTCAAACTGTGTTACTATGCTTACCACAACCACCTGGTGGTCTAATAAAGAGCAAATGGCCAATAGCAAGGAAGGAGCAAAGATAGGAGGGGCTGGCAGGCTAGGGAAAAGCAGGTCCAGGACTACAGACAGAGAAGGGAGAATTTCCAGATCCCTTGGCAGATGACACTGGCAGACTGAAAGCCAGGAGACCTGGGTTTTTGTGGACCTGCAACTGTTGACCTCAACATCACCTCAGCAAAGTATCTCAGTTCTCCACCAAGGAAGTGTAACAGAGCTGTAGTCTAAAATTCCATTGTTACAACTTGTCAAGCCCACAGAATTAAACCAAAATGTGGTCCCTATTTGGACCACAGGGATCAATCAACTTTGACTAGTCTGGAGGCAACCATTTGTGATGATGAATCACTCATAATAGATCCAGTGAAGAAGGTTCCTAAACAGTCTTTAGATTCTTTCTAAAGCCATCAACTCCATTCTTTTCTAGCCACTTAAATACCAACATGATACTTAAATCTCACAGACAAAATGCAATCTTCCTTAGTGATTGTTGTCTGGGAAATGGAGTTTGTATTGATAAACTAAAAATGCTCTTCACAAGCAGAACTACCTCACCCCAAGAACTCATAAAACAAGTTGTCTTGGAAATACAAAGTAGGCTGGAGTGAAGACAAGAAAACATATATACAGTTATCCAAGAAGGGCTAAATTCATCTATTCTTGCCACTGTTCTAAAGGAAACAAAGGCATTTATTTAAACATGGGTAGAGGATGAAGATCATGGGTAAGGGACAGAATCATGTTCCCTAACCCCTCCTAGTGTGGCTGATTTCCTTAAACCATAATGGAACTTGGGTGATTATTAAATTCCAGTTGTAATACTGTTTCCTATTATATGCCAATACACATTACATATTTTCATAGAAATTGGTAGTAGATATTATCTTTAGTTTACTTTTTGTTCAACTTGAAAGATTAATAGTTCACATGGTTGATATTTTAAAGTACAATTTTTATTAAGCACAGCAAAATTTCTTGCTACAATTATTGAATCAAATTTCAATGTCACCAAAACCCACAGATATATTGGATACTCATTATCCCACAAATGTATATATTTTATTATGTTTATTTCACTACTTTAAGAAGTGTCTTGCTAATCCTCTAGAGCATAGTTATTTGTGTTTCCTCCATGGAATTCAGTGTGGCTGTATCTCAAAAAGAAAATCTAGAAGTAGATCTAACAGCTTGGCCCATCTTTTATCTGTACCCAAAGGACTCCAAGTCAACACATCACAGAGGCACTTGAACATCATGTTCCTGCACTTCTATGCACAGCACCTAAGGGGCCAGCCTAGGTGTCCACCAATAGAGGGATGGGTAAGAAAACTGTAATTTGTAAATACCATGGACTTCTTTTCATCAATAACAAAGAGTTATGTCTTCAGGAAAGTAGATGCAACTGGAGATGATACATTTAGCAAATTAAACTAACCTCAAAAGGACAAATATCTTTCTTCCTCTCCTTTGTGGTTCTTAGATTTTTATAGACATATTCATGTATTTATATATTGTAATATATAATATATAAATATCCATGTATGTATATATTAAATGGAAACTGAAGTGAAATTAAGGGGAACAAAGGGGAAAATGAGAGAGGGACCTAAAAGTGGAAGATGGGGACTGAGACTGGGAATATATGTTCAATATATTATCGATATAATACACACATATATAAAATACATGTATATAACACACATGTAACACATATAATACACATATGGTATATATACACATATAATAATATATAACACACACACACATATATATAATATACATCTATATGTAAGAAAAAATTTAAAGTAGTGTCTTAAAGTTATTATAAAACAATATCAATATATGTTTATGTAGCTGTAGGTAAAGTGAATTTTAAAACGAAGGTGGTTCAGCTTTTGAGTAGTAGGCTATGGGTTAAAAAGAAAAGATGAGGAGACTCACTGGAGTCTTTGGGATAGTCATACAGGAAACATTTTACTTTCTTTTAGATCTTGCTACTTAGTTAAGAACATAGGGTGCACAATTTAAAACTGCTCACAACAAACTTCTTGAAGCCTAAGATTTTGCATGCACTGTGTATTGCGATGCAATCTCAGCAGACAGCTTGCAGGTGCACTGTTGAGAACTGCCTCCCTCAGCATGCATGCCACCTCCTGCCACACAGGCCTATCAGCTTAAGAATAAACTGTCTATCCTTGTTTCTCCTAACTCAACAGCCACAGGAGCTAGTGGAAAACTTTTAGTAATGCCATAGCAACTCATATTTGTATAGTTTGTGAGAATCTGAATATTTAATAAAAGAAAATACTGCCTTATCTTACAATTGCTAAGAAAATAGATAATTACCTCCCAAATATGATTTACAATGTTAAGTTCTACCAGTAACAGTGAGAAGCAGGATAAAGGCCATTCATCTATAATATTCTTTAAAGTACATTCTCTGTCCACAGCACAAAATGTGTTGTGGGAACAGAGAGATGGGTGCTCCTGAACATCCTAGTTTACTGTGCAGGATACAGAGATGCACAAGGAACAATAACACATGGCCCCTGACTGGTTGCACAAAAGCTCTAAACAGTGAGATGCAGGAGGCAGAAGAGGCAGGTTATTTCTATCTGATAGAATGAAGAAAACAGTCAGTCTTGCTCTTAAAGACTTGGGAACCCTGAACAGAGCACATGAGTAAAATGAAACACTGCAGTTAGAGGTGAAGAATCACGAAGGGGCTAGTGGGCGAAATGCTGCCAAGAAAAGCTAATGTCATTAATTTCTATCCAAAGATACAGACCCAATTCAATCACCCAGGGGGAATCCATGGTGAAGATGGTATTTTCCAAAAGACTCTAGAAGTGAGTAAGGTAGAATGAGGTTGGCATTAATGCATTCACTCCTTTACAAAAAAAAAAAGCCCAGCAACCACTAATTGTCTAATCCAAGTCCATTCACTCTTATTCTCTCCCTCTTCCTCTCTCTCTCCTCCTTTCCTCCTTTACTTTATTATGGTACTGATGCTGGCTCTATTGGTGAGCCAAGTGCTCTATCAGTGAGGTTCAGCCCCAGCTTCATTAAAGTAGCATGCTCAGGTGAAAGGGCATGGATAAGAGAAGGACGGGGGAGGGACAACAGAAAGAGATTGTGGAGTCTTAGCATTTAGTTTCCAATATTTTGCATATTCAAAACACCTGAATACTGTTTAGACAATCAATGCTATTTAGACATTTATGCAATCAAATTTATTTTGAAAGTCAGGCTTTGCTTTTCTACTGACCCAATTTCTACAATGAAATGTTTAAAATTTTCTAGGTAGTAATATCTATAATAGACTTTCTTTTTAAAAATTATTTCTTTATTGTATATGTGTGGGTCTTTTGCCTCTATGTATTTATATATACTCTGTACATGCCTGGCACCTGTGAAGGCCAGAAAAGGGTTTTGGATCCCCTGGAACTGGAGTTTTTAGACAGTTGTGAGCTGCCATGTGGGTGCTGGGAATGGAACCTGGGTCCTCCCAAATAACAGCTTAACTATAGAGCCATCTCTCCAGCCCGTGTAACAGAATTCCACTATGTAATTCTAGCTTCAAGGAAACTTACTTTACAGACTGCAGCATCTACCAATAGGATTTTTATGGTACTGAACTCATAATTTAATTTGGAAATTCTTTTTCCCAAATGTAAAATTTGTTTCCTATTTTATAAAGTGGCCCTCTGTAGGTCTGTAGCTCTCCCTAGCTCTTTATATTTTAACTCAGAAGTAATGTGCTACTAATTATTTGGAGACAAACCTATGGAACTGATCTTCTGTTGTCTGAGACATGGTCCCATGCTATATTCCTGATATAGTGAACACTTGTCTCCAACTTCTGGCAACCCTTTGCTGCTTTGGCCTCAAAGAAGTCCACATATCTGGTTAAATTTAATATTCTTCATCATCACTGGACAGTTGTAGCTGAGACTTTCCACAGGAGCAGCTGTTCTTGATTTCACCCACTCAAGCAGACTTAGGACAACATGAACCCCAGGTGCTGGCCTGGAGTGCAGTGAATGTGTACTCACATATGGCCTCCAGCCTCAGGCTGGGGTCAACATGCAAAGAGCTTACCTGGTTACAATCAGAGCTCTATCAGGTAGGAGGATGTTTTTTAAAAATTAGTCAGACTCATATTCTGTGATACTAGTGAGAACTTACCTGAAAAATCCAGTGCACACACTCCTCTCTGATGGTGCCCTTTCAATAGTGACAAACATCTTAGAGTTTGTGTGTCCCACACATGAATAGCAGCATCTCTTCCAACCTGTAGTGACAGGATAATGCTGTTAACTAGGCATTTATGGTAATCAGGATAACGCGGCTTCTTAGGGTCAAGCACAGCTCAGAAATAATGCAGCATACATCATTTGTAAGTTAGGAAGACAACTGGAAACAATTTAGTCCACTCCAGTATTTTCCTGAGGAAGAAACATTCTTGAAGCTTCTCGAGTTGGGTTTTGGCAGATTTGTGCCCAGCACATGGCTCCCTGATAAGGGATTTTTGAAGACAGCATTTAAATGTACACTTGCTGTCTTTGTGTCATAACTTTTACCCACGTGCCCTACCCCTGCCTCCTCAATGTTTTCAGAGTCTTCAGTTTCAAGCTTTATGTTTATTCCTACCAAGTACATTTTTTTTCTATTTCAGGTAAATTGGATTAGAAATTAACTGCCCTTTCTCTTTCGCTAAGCTCTGGTCACACACCTGTCCAGTGGCCACATAGTCCTTCACTGGATGGACGGTCAGGCTGAGGATGTCATCGTCATGCCCCAGGTACAGCCTCTGAGTGTGCTGCTGCCTGTTGTACACCACAGCAACTGCAGCAATGTGGTACACCACTTCTCCAGCCTGTGTGTAGAACAGGTTGTTCCTACAGTCGTAGCCCCTGTAACTGAAGTGCAGTGGGCAAAAGATCAGCACACAAATGAAGTCCGAGTTGTTCAGGCAAAGCAATTGTGCTGATGTGCTGTGAATGAGGCACATGGAGAGAACTGTTTTCACAGATCTGCTTCCATATCTTCAACTAGTGTCCATGTTCTTTGCTAAAAGCAATTCTGTGTAACAGTGCGCAACTTCAGTCCCAGCACTTATGGGGCAGATGCAGAAAAATCAGAAGGTCATTAGCAGCTACATAGTGGGTTTAAGGCTAGCCTGGGCTATATGATATGTATCAAAACAAACCAACAAAGCAATTCAAGTCTCCTTCTGACAGGTCTAGACCAAGGCTCAGGCTTCCTTTCCTATGTTCCATCTAGTTCTTTGGGGGTACAGTACCTTTGGGGTGCCAAAGCAAGACAATTCCAAACACAATTGAATAACTTTAATTTATTGATACAGAATCTCACTGTGTAGCTTTATATGCCCAAACTCACTATAGATCAGGCTGGCCTGAAATTTACAGAGCTCTACCTGCCACTGCCTCCTGAGTAAGCGCTAGTATGAAAGGTATGCCCTACCACATCTGGTGAGTAATGTATCCTTTTGTAAATCAACTATTGATTTTTTAACAAAATCAAGTAGACAACTTATTGAATAATATAGACAAATTGACATTTTTGTGATATCAAAATCAAAATGTTATTTTTGGCCTATAATACAGAAAGAGTTTAGAGAATTGAAAAATATTAGTATTGTTGTTTTTCCTATTTATTTGTGAGAATTAACTCAATGCTTTCATCTTAAAAAAAAAGCTGAAAAGTGGGCTTAGACTCATGCTAAACTCTGCTACGTTCTATCCATAAACAATATATACACAGCTATCTGAAATGAAAAGCCTTATTGGGGGCTGGAGGACTTGGTTCAGCCAACGTTTGCTGTTTAAGCATGTGTCCCTCAGTTTGGATTCCCAGTAGCCTTAGGAAAGCTGAGAACTGCTGACATGGACAGTGACTGGGTAAGACAACTGGTGTTGATTTCTACTCATCCATGTACACACACACACACACACACACACACACACACACACACATACACACACATCATGGATTCATGACAGCACACATGCACAAGCACACACACATGCACATGTACACAAACATGCACACACACATGCATGAATGCATAAGAGCATGTGAGCACACACCCACACATGCATGCATGGATTAATGAAAACACACATGCATGCACACACACACCACCAACTTATGAAAACAGTGATTAACCACTAAATATATTAATATGTAGTATTAATATTGGTTTGGTCAGTTTTTCCAGTAACAACTTTTAAAATAAACAGTACTATTATCTAACAGAAACATGTGAACCAAATAGGTAATTGATGGGAGATTCATTCTGAAAACATGTTTCTCATACTGGTTAATGAATAAAGCACTGTTGGCCAATAGGAAAGCAAGATAGGTGGGACTAGGAGACAAGGAGGATTAGAGGAATAGTAAGGAGGAGTCAACATGGAGAGACGAGAGAACAGAGGTCCAGGCCCACTCTCTGGTAAGATGAGACCACGTGGAAATACTTAGATTAATAGAAATGGGTTAATAATTAAGACAGAGCTAGCTGATAAGAAACAATTAACTGGCCAACATAATTATATCAAATACAGCGTGTCTGTGTGTTATTTGGGGCTGGTGCGGCAGTGGTTCCAGGCTGCCGGAAAAACTACTCTTACTTATGGCAACGTGGCTAATAAGAATTTCCACATAAAATTTAACAAAAGCTTAAAAAAGGGTTTTAGAAACAAAAGAACAAAGACAAGCAAGGCTTCTTGCTAACAGCATTTTTCAGGGTTGGACTCTTTTGCGTGAGACAAGCACAGATTTGCACAGCTCCTTTAAGAGAGGTTTCCTGACTCAGCATAAGTGGCAAACAAACAAACAAACAAACAAAAAATGCATGGCTTTTAAGAAACTCTGCTAACAATTTATTGGTGTGTATCAGGGCTGGCAATAGCAGTGACCACATCTTCAAGCCGGCAACATGCTGCTGAATGGCAGCATAGACCAAGGCAGTGAGCACAGCTCTCAGTTCTGGCGGTAAAAGTACCCGCCACCATCTTGGATAGATCACGGCTAATACAGCTATGACTTTCATTTTAGCAATGTTGTTGTTTACCAGATAAAAGACTTGTGGCCAGAAAAAGATAAAGATTTACAGTAAAGACAGATTCATATTAAGAAAAACCGCTAAAGGTTTACAGTGTGTTTTAAAATATATGTAGGCTTGGGAGAGAAAAAGAATAAAATGGTTTTAAAAAGACAGAAAGGACCTGGGTGTGGTCACACACACCTTTAATCCCAGCACTCAGGAGACAGAGGCAAGCAGATCTCTGTGATTTCAGAGTAAACCTGGTATGCAGAGTGAGTTCCAGGACAGATAAGAGTTACACAGAGAAACCCTGTCTCAAAAAATAGAAAAGAAACAGAATAATAAAAAAGCCACAAATGGAAAAAATCTGGATACTGTACGGTATTATATTGTCTTTGTATTGTTTAACTGCTAAGGAAACAACTGTTAAAGGAAATGCTGCTGGATCAATTCAATTTATATATTTTAAAAATGCTTTGACTCCAAAATTTAAGTTTCAGGACAAGTTACTGGGGAAAAGGATTTCTATTTTTGTTTCCACAGAAAATGAAAAGCTGTGTATTCCTTCCAGACTAATGTGGTTTGATCAAGCAAGGCCCCCTGAAGCAATGCCCAGGTGATCCAACATTCAAAACAGCTTGAACAAGGCAGCCTTCCAGACTACAGCCAGGATTTCTGCCTCTTCTTAGGATCCCCCATGACAGCGCCCCTTACCAGCAGGAAGTAGTTTGGAAAGAACGACGCCCAAATTCCCAAATATTATTTATAAATGTTTGTTTTCATTTAAATGGGGTTGGTTATAAATGGATAATGACCACAACCAATCTCTTTTTAAAGGCAAAAAAAAAAAAAAAAAAAAAAAAGGAATTATGGTATAGATATGAATACTTTGCCTTGGAATGGATTTTCATTTGATACAATTAAGTTCAATTTTTTAATATATATATTTCTCCTCTTGTTTAGGTATTGTGCTTATATAGCTCATTTAAAAATGTATAACAGTACAGATTATAGATTGTTACCTTTAATAGTCAAAACTTATAGTTAAGTTACTTAGGATTTCTAGATATTCAGAGATGTATTTGAGATAAATAGACATTCTTTAAACCTTTCAAAGACCTACAGATTATGGCATTTAAAATGGTTTAGGGTTTTTCTTGACAGTGAGACATAAATGCTCCTGGCAACACCACCTGGGTCAGAAAGGAAAATGGACATCGAAGAAACGCGTTATGAAGTTTGCTTCCAATATGGCAAGACTAGCCATTTGGACAAGAAACTACTCTTGCCTGGACTGTTTGACTTTATGCTATATAAACTGGACATACAAGACCCACAGGAAAATGAGTGCTGATACAAGATGGTTGTTGCTACAGAGTTCCTAATTCATGAAAGAGTCTGTCAGACAGTATGCAGGACACAGAGAAAAATGAATGACAAACTGCCACTACAGATGGACAGTTTAAAGTTTCCTGCTTTGCTGAGGAGTCTGCCAGACACACTATGGCCTATGGGCTGAAGATGAAACATTACAGAAGAACTTAAGGTGCCTGACCAGGTAGCAAGATGTCTCTGCCATTTCTAGAGTTTATATTATCCTTCTATGGTTTTTGAGGGCGTTGAAGACAAATAGTTATGGTTATAGTTTTCCTTAGTTAGGATTAAAGATAAGTTACATATAGGACTTTAGACTCACAAAGATAGAATAGATGATGAAATATTTTCTTAAATCTTACTAAATGTTAATGGACTAAATATTGTTAACTGTAATTCTTATTTGATAACAGTTATGTGATATATTTTGCTATGTTAAGGTTAAAACCCTTCTTTTTATTTAGACAGAAAAGAGGAGATGATGGGAGATGTCATTCTGTAAATATGTTTCTCATACTGGTTAATGAATAAAGCACTGTTGGCCAATAGGAAAGCAAGATAGGCAGGACTAGGAGACAAGGAGGATTCAAGGAAGTAGTAGGGAAGAGTCAGCATGTAGAGACTAAAGAGAGCAGGACACCAGCCCCACTCTTGGGTAAGATGAGACCACATGGAAATACTTAGATTAATAGAAATGGGTTAATAATTATGACAGAGCTAGCTGATAAGAAACAAGTAACTGGCCAACAGCATTATATCAAATACAGCATGTCTGTGTGTTAATTGAGGGTGATGCGGTGGTGGGACCAGACCGGCAGGAAAACCTTACTCGTAACAGGTAATAACATTTTCTTATTGAGCAGTGTTCAGTTGGAACCCCCTGCTTGCCCCTGCAGAAGCTGGTAAACCCAGTCCGCCCTATTTCCCCCAACCCACACACACTGAAAAAGTTCTGAACAAGGGAATGGTGCCAAACACCCAGTTTCACATCTCTGGCAACTGGAGCAACTGCCTTTCTGCCATGACCAGTTCACCCAAATGTCTACCCAGAGACTTAGCTTTTGACCACACTTGGGCACAGTCCCAGCTCCTGGCTGGCACATCATCACCCCTTGCCTAAGGTCTATAAAACCTCCCTGCTTTAGCTTGGGCAGGGAACTTCTCCAGCCCTGTTCTTTGGGACTGGTAAACCCACCCAAGAACAAGCCAAATAAAAGTACATTTATCTGTTTTTAATCAGGACTGCTCTGGCCTTTTGTGTCCCAAGGGGCATTTCACGTAGCACTGAGGAAGCTAAGACGGGAGGATTCTACAAGCATTAGGCTAGCCTTGTCTCTAAAAAAACCCAACCTATTTTTAAGAACTTTTAACTCAACACATTTAAGTAATCATATCAATATATAGAAACATTTTAATGAGTATATGCTTTTTCTGCTACTTCTTTAAAACTGAAATTTATTTTACACACTCAACACATCTCATTTCAGACAAGCTATGCTGTCTTGGAATTTTCATTTTATATTTTACTTAGTATTTGCACACGTGTGTGTGCACACATTTACATGAGTGTACTATGAGCATGCATGTGTTCTACTGTGCACTGGTTTCTATGCTTAGATTTTATTTCTTTATAGACAATACAGTGTCTGAAGACTCTCAAACATATATTAAGGTACATTTTTTCCCCTAAGGTACAATTTTATAATAGAATTCATATATATATCTATATATCTATATATATAGATATATATACATATATATGTTATAAAAGTTTACATAAAATGTAAATGATAGAAAATATGATGATATAAATAGTTGTTCTCGTATTTTAAAAGTTGACAATAGCAGGAATGAAGCATGGCATTTGGGTTCTATTGGTTACATTTAAATGTCTGAGGTATTTATAATATACTAGATATGCTTATATTTTTCTCAATGAGGATTGGAGGACTAGAGAATGTAGGACAACAGTGGTGACACCGACATGAGCTGCTGCCATAGCATGGAAACACGTGAAGCATGTCAGGGCCAGAGTTGTGGAGGTCATGGTACCAACTAGGAAAGCTGGACAGAGTCAGCTGAGATGTCACTACAGGGGGTGCAACCTGCAGAGGGGATCATTTCAAAAAGGGAGCTCCCTGGCTTGGCAGTAGACTGACTGATGACAAGTTTGTCGGAGACAGAGGAAGGCCACCTACCCATGCATGAACAATTCAGGGTCCCCTGGCAGGCCACCTACCCATGTATGAACTGAAGTTTCAGGCTGTCCTCTGGAGCCTTCTCCCGCTTGAGAAAGAACATTGCATGGTTTTTCTCTTTGCTTTGTTGCTTTAGCTGAGGTAGATCTTCTTTGTAAACCTTCAAGCACAATAGAAAAGTTTAGCCAACATCCCCTGCTCAAGCGTCTAAACAGTGTCTTGGCATTGTAGAGAGACCACCTATTGCTTCAATAAAATGTGGGTTTTATGTAGCATAGACTCAACATTCCTTTCCCTAATGTAACCATGTTACCAAGAAATCTTCCAATAGCTGAGATTTAAAACATTTACTCTCCTCCCTTGATTTGTTATTGCTTTCTTAGGTAATTATATCCGGAAAATAAAGTTGATGTTCTAGTAAATGAGAAAGAAAAGGAATTATTAGTAAATATATTTTTCTTCAGAGAGTAAGAAACCTCTGATGTTTGTAAGACAGGGGCTTTCTGAGTCATTCTCCTTCTAACACTGTTCTTTGGGATGCTTTCCTTCCTGACCTCATGGACTTGGACAGATTTGAGTCTGAAATTCTATTGGTCCAATCCAAAAATCAAAGTCTACTGCTGAAGAAATACTTGCTACAGTTTAAATGTACATAAAATTATCTTGCTTATGCTTAATTCTCAAAAACCACTTCAACACATTTAGAAAATAAACCTCACAATCTAGTAGTAATTTCTCATATTCAGGAAAGAAAATTTTCATTTTGAAGTAGAATAAGATAAAAAGACCAATTATAAGATACTGACTTTTTTTTTTTTTAATGAAGGTCAAGCAGGCCTTCACTTGCTACCTGGAACATTGGTCATTGCCCTTAACAGCCTGCTGACTGCCACTCAAGTGTCTGTAAACTCTCACTGGCTTGCCCACTCCAGCATGTGGTTTTAGGGTATAAATAAGAATACAAATGGCCCGGCAGCCTGCCCTCAGGAGTTGTCCTGGTTTCCTCCATGCTAGCAGCCCCACCGCTGATAGCTTCTCTATTCTTCACCCACTATAATGCTGCTGTGCTCATCACAGAAAGATTCCCATAACAATTTGATCAACTATATTACTAAAAAAAAAAAAAAAAAAGGCCCAGAAAATAAAGCTACAATGAAGTTTCCTTTCAGGACTGGGCCTAAGGTATCAAAAAAGAAGTAAGAAGGTTGTTTTTTGTTTTTTGGTTTTTTTTTTCCTGTTTTACATATAATGAACTATACTTCTCAGTCTAAAGATAATTATTTATCTGAAATCATGGTTCTCTTCTGGGGGCATTTCTACTGCTTTGATGAACATATAGCACCATGGGCCTCAATCTGTAGAACAAAATAAAAGTCTCTACTCAGGAATAACTTGGGAATATTGTAAACCAATGTATGTAGAGGCACTGAAAGATAAGTCACAGATGATAAGAAAGTCCAAGACTGGCTTTCAGTGGTCATGCCTTGTTACTGCTTCCTAACATCATAAAATAAAAATCCCCCAACTAAACAAAACAGCAGCCTCTCCTAGATCTTATTTTGCTTAAGTTTCATTATCTCTGGGTGCATTACTTAGTGTTTCCTTCCAAATCCCTTTTAGTGCTTGTACTGCATAACACATTTGTCAGTACACAGTCAAAGTAATCTAATTATGAAGTTGATCTGAACTGTTGTCCGCACTGTCTTTGTACCAAATTAAGAAGAAATGACTACAGGAGCAGAAAATTCAGTGCTTATATGGAGTTACATCAGAAGTCCATGGAAAGAAGTCCAGGTCAGCATTATCTTAAAACAGTAGCCACGTGGAAAGGGGCAAGCCAGTTAACATGCCACATGAAGACAACTGGTGTGTGGGAGCTGCCAAAGGTCCGTCTCTTAAGTTTCCTTGGATGACACTGACACATATGTATCTAGGATCTCATGCCTTATTCACTCCACCTTCATGTGCAGAATTTGTCTCACACACCTATAAACATGTTACTTATACAAAGACAGGAGAAAATTGAATCTCTGAAGCTATCACCACGACATGCTACTATGTCAAGATTCCTTGGAAGCACTGCTTTAACAGTCCCTGCTTTCTACTAAAAAGTTCTTAACCTTTGTGGGAGAAGACTGGATGTGATTTGCCAACTTTTGTGCTAGAAGTAGTTTCTTACTGGATAGAGAATGCACATTGGAATTAAATATCTCTAAACAAAAAGTAATCTCTATCTAATTGAGCAAGAAATGAGGATAACTATTCACACACAGTCTATCATTCTTGAAAGGTACCAATCCTAAAAAATGTACAGTTTTATGATTTGCTAAGGAAATAAGAAAAACATGTACTTATGCATCTTTCTTTGCAAAATAATAGTCATGTAAATTGTAGAATATTACTTTAAGATGTGTTACATTTATTTATGCTATGAAATATTTGTTTAATGATGCAAAGATGTGTTGAATTCTTTTATGTTGCATTTGTTTAACTTTGTGAAGCTGTCTTACTTTGCCTGTCTAAAACACCTGATTGGTCTAATAAAGAGCTAAAGGTAGGCAGAAGTATAGGCAGCGTTACCAGACCCCAGAATAAATAGGAGGAAAAATCAGGGAGGAGAAAGAGGAGGAGAAAGAAAAGAAGGGGCCAGCCACACAGCCAGACATGGGATAAGAAAGAAAAGATATACATAGAGAAAGGTAAAGCTCAGAGGCAAAAGGTAGACAGGATATTTTAAGTTAAGAAAAACTAGCAAAAAACAAGCCAAGCTAAGACTGGGCATTCATAAGCAAGAATAAGCCTCCATATGATTTATTTGGGAGTTGGGTAGTAGAACTCCCAAGAGCTTAAGAGTAAAAAAACAACAAACTACATATAAATATGTATTTAGTAAATATATAATGAAAAATTGAAAAGTTCAAATGCTCAGGACTGAGCTTGAAAACTTAGCCATTCCCTTCCATTTAATTAAAAAAATAATTTAATATGTAAAAGTGTTTTGCTAGCTTACATGTGTCTGCACCATTTGCATGCCTAATACCTGAAGAGGCTGGGAGAGGACACTGGATCACCTGGAACTGAAGTTACAGATGGCTATGAGTCACTATGTAGGTGCTGGGAATTGAACCCAGGTCCTGTGGAAGAGTAGCCAGTGCTCTAAGCACTGAGCATCTCTCTAGCCCCTCACTTAACATTTTTCTTCTGCCTCAGCTCCATCCATTTTCAGAGCAATACTAAAATCACAGTGGCTTCAGGCTTTTGTGCTCTCTGTACTGACCTGACGATCATAATTGATCTGAGTTTCCTGCTCGATATCAGAGTCCAGTTCAGGTACATCAGACAAGTCCGAGTCAGATTCTTCACTGTAGGAATCAGTGCCACCTTCTGCAGAGACAGAACCTATCACAGGCAAGGAAATGCTGAGGTGCTAGTGATGATAGCTTTCACTTTACAGAGGCTTAGAGCCCACTAAACATCAGGGATGACCTTCAACTCCAGAGGCTAGCTCCAGGGATGGCTTTGAACTCCAGAAGCTAGCCTTACTTTTTAAGAGCTGGCATTGTAGGTATGTGGTTCCCTTTTTTTCTTTATAATTAGATATTAGGAGTTCTAGATTTTTTAAATCATACTTTGTAAAATAAAAAAGTGTAGGATTTACCAAAGAGAAAGGTAGGGTTAAAAACTCCAAGCACTTACTACCATTCAGTTCCTCTTTAGTTTTTAAACATATCCACCAAGCATTTGAAAGAGCCATGGTCATGTCCCCACAAAATCATATAATTAAACATGTTGGCTTGCATCATCACTATTCTATTGCCTGCTTATCCATATGGATACCTCAAATAGATGTAAATTAAAAAAACTATGTACCCATTGATGTGGATCATCTAGGACCACATTGTGGACTACAGTTTCAATCCCTTCTCTGCACCCTAAAGTTGTCTATCACTTCACACACTGAGCAGGTCCATTGCTTTAGTCTTCCCAAGGCCTAACAAACATGCTTTCGTCTTGTCATCAAAAGTCATTTTTTCAGTGTGAACCTCCAGGCACAGTATAAGCAAAATCCTTCAAAGAAAATAACTTACCAAAAATATACTAATCTACAAGGTTTCTCCTTTCTCTTCACAATTATTTTGTGTGATTGAGTGTTTTGCCTGTGTGTATGTATGTGTACCACATGCATGCATGGTGCCCCCAGGGATCAGAAGAGGGTGTTGGATCCTCTGGAACTGGAGATAGGCATAGTTGTGAGCCACCATGTGGTTGTGGGACCTGAATCTTGGTTCTCTGCAAGAACAAGTGCTTATACCCACTGAGCCAACTCTCTGGCCCCTCAGAAGGTTTTCTTTATATTAAATAATTATTATATAAATAGAATTTTGAAAACTACCTTAGCTGTTTAGCTCCAGAATAGATATTAGGAATATTCCTTAAAATGAGTACTGAAAAATAAAGACATTGGGAAGTTAGAACTGTTTTTTACCCTGGGGTGTGGTTTCCAGCATGCCATTACTGACAGCATCTTGAATAAACCTCCACTGAAAGACCGAGTGATCTGCTCCTCCTGTGCTTAACACCCATTGGAAGTCATGGGACCAGCGGACGTTTGTAACGTGTGCAGAGTGTCCCACATACTTTCTAAACTTGGCTCCTGAAACAGAAATTTCAGATTATGTATTTAAAAAGTATTCATTAAAAAAGCAATCACATTCCTATCCACATCAAGTAAAAATTTTCAGTATATCAGAAACATATTTTCATACTTACATATTACAATAAACAAATGACACAAGAGAACTCAAATATTCCATTATGCATTAATCTGAAGATGTGCCTTTCAAATTCAAGCTCTACAGCTAAAGGCTTAGATAAGCTTGCTCCAACTAATACTTCAGGGCTTCTAAAAATAAATGCAAGAATTAATATCTTAATAAAGGACCCAGTATCAGGCGCCATTCCTGCCCTGTCCCTCCACTCTCCAGCAGAGAAATGAGTACCAGGAGCTCCCCCAACCCCCACATACCCCTCTTCAAGTACCCTGACCTGCAGCTGCCAGACCTTTTCTACAACCAAATTCCCCAGAGGGACCTGGAGGCAGAACAAAGGATACAACATCAGGTGCCATTCAGCCCTGCCCCTCCACCCTCCTCTGGAGAGGAGAGGGAGAGACCCCACCTGTACCCATTGAAAGAAGAGATGGAAAATAGAACAAATCTAACAATTGTTATATGACACCACCAGAGTCTGGGGATTCTACACCAGCAAGACTTGAACATCCCAACTCAGACAAAGCAGAAGAGAATGACCTTAAAAACAATTTCATGAAAATGATAGAGGCCCTTAAAGAGGATATGAGGAAATCCCTTAAAGAAATGGAAGAAAACAAACAAATAAAAAACAAAACAAAACAACAACAAAAACAAAAACAAAACAAACAAAAGCAAGAAATCAACAAATCTCTTAAAGAAAGCAAGGAAAGCCAAGGGGGGTTAACAAACAAAACAAAATACAACCAAAGAAAAAAATCAAATAGCTGAATGAAAAAATTCAAACAATCCAGCATAACCAACAGAATACAAGAGATGGAAGAATGAATTTCAGGTGCTAAAGATAACTTAGAGGAAATAGACTCATCTACCAACGAAAAAGTTAAATCCAACAAATCATTAACACAAAATATCCAGAAATGTGGGACACTGTGAAAAGATCAAACCTAAGAATAATAGATATAGAAGAAGGCGAAGAAGCCCAGATCAAAGGTGCAGAAAGCATATTAAACAAAATCATAGAAGAAAACTTTCCCAAACTGAAGAAGGACATGCCTATGAAGGTACAAGTAGCTTACTGAACACCAAACAAATTAGACCAAAAAAAAAAAAAAAGTCTCCTTGTTACATAATAATCAAAACCCCAAACATACAGAATAAAGAAAGAATATTTAGAATAGCGAAGGAAAAAGGCCAAGTAACATATAAAGGCAGAATTACACCTGACTTTTCCATGGAAAAGCCTGAAGGTTCTGGATAGATGTTCTAAAAATACTAAGAGACCACGGATGCCAGCCCAGTGAAACTACTATATCCAGCAAAATTCTCAATCACTATAGAGGGAGGAAACAAGATATTCCATGATAAAACCAGATTTACACAATAAATACCCACAAATCCAGTCCTATAGAAAGTTCTGGAAGGAACCCTAGGAAGTTAACTACAATCACAAAACCATAGGCAATAGACAATCCCACTTTGCCAGAAGCCAAAAAAAAAAAAAAAAAAAAAAAAAAAAAAAAAAGAGCAGGGTATACAATACCACCACCAAATCCAAAACAAACAAGAATTAACAATCAATGGTCCTTAATTTTCCTCAGTATTAATGGTCTTAACTTGCCTATAAAAAGACACAGGCTAACAGAATGGATATGAAGCCAGAATCCATCATTCTGCTGCATACAAGAAATGCACCTCAACTTCAAAGGCAGACACTACCTCAGAGTAAAGGGAAAAGATCTTCCAAACAAATGGCCCAAGAAACAAGATAGTGTAGCTATCCTAATATCTAAGAAATTAGACTTCAAACTAAAATTAATCAAAAGAGAAATGAGGTCATCTAATATTCATCATAGGAAAAAATCCATCAAGATGAAGTTTCAATTCTGAACATCTATGCCCCAAATTTAAAGGCACACATATGCGTAAAAGAAATATTACTAAAACTCAAATCACACATAAACCCCCCAACACTTATAGTGGGAGACTTCAACACCTCACTTGCAACACTAGACAGGACCACTAGACAGAAACTTAACACAGAAACAAAAGAATTAACAGAAGTTATGACCCAATTGGGTTAAATAAACATCTATAGAATATTCAATCCAAAAGAATATACCTTCTTCTCAGCTCCATATGGAACCTTCTCTAAAATCGACCACATACTCAGCAACACAGCAAACCCCAACAGATACAAGAAAAAGTGGACTAATCCCCTGTATCTTATCAGACCACCATGCTTTAAAGTTGGAATTCAATAGCAACACAAATTGCAGAAACCCTACAAACTCATGGTAACTGAGCAACAAACAATTGCACCATTCCTGGGTCAAGGAAGAAATAAGAAAGAAATTAAAGACTCCCTAGAATTCAATGAGAATGAAGACACAACTTATGAGACATTTAAAAGCAGGGATAAGAGGAAATTTCATAGCACTATGTGCCCACATGAAGAAAATGGAGGATAGTCACATTAGAGAATTAACAGCACAACTTAAAGCTCTAGAACAAAACGAAACAAACTCACCCTGGAGGAGTAGACACCAGGAAATAATCAATATGAGGGCTGAAATGAATAAGGGAGAAACTAGGAAAACAATACAAACAATCAATGTAACAAAGAGGCATTTCTTCAAGAAAATCAACTAGACAAAACTTTTCCCAAACTAACCAAAAAGCAGAGAGAGAACATGTAAATTAACAAAATCAGAAATGAAAAGGGGGACAGACATAACAATGGACAATGAAGAAATCCAGAGAATCTTCAGGTCATACTTGCAGAAACTGTACTCTACAAAATTCAAAAATTTAAAAGAAATGGACAGTTTTCTGGAGAGATATCACTTACCAAAATTAAATCAAGAACAGATAAGCAATTTAAATAGACCTATAACCCCCAATGAAATAGAAGCAGTCATCAACATCTACTTAAAAACCAAACCAAAAAAAAAAAAAAAATCCAGGGGCTAGATGGTTTCAGTGCAGAATTTTAGCAGAAATTAAAAAAAAAAAAAAAAAAAAAAAAAAAAAAAAAAAAAAGCTAATACCAACACTCCTCACATTGTTCCACACAATAGAACCAGAAGGGTCATTACCAAACTCTTTTTATGAGGCTACAATTACCTTGGTACCCAAACCACACAAAGACACAACTAAAAAAGAGAACTACAGAACAATAGCCCTCATGAGCATTGATGCCAAAATACTCAATAAAATACTGGCAAATCAAATCCATGAACACATTAGACAAATCATCCACCATGACCAAGTAGGCTTCATCCCAGGCATGCAGGGATGATTCAACATATGAAAATCTGTGAATGTAATCCACCATATAAACAAACTGAAAAAGAAAAACCATATGATCATCTCACAAGATGCTGAAGAAGCCTTTGACAAAATCCAACACCCTTTCATGATAATGGTCAGGGAGAGATCAGGGATAACAGGAACATACCTAAACAGACTAAAAGAAATATACAGCAAACCAACAACCAACATCAAACTAAATGGAGAGAAACTTAATGTGATTCCTCTAAAATCACAAACAGGACAAGGCTGCCTACTCTTTCCATATTTCTTCAATATTATACTTTAAGTTCAAGTTAGAGCAATAAGACAACAAAAGGAGATCATGGGGATACAAATTGTAATGGAAGAAGTCAAACTTCCACCATTTGCAGATGATATGATAGTTTACATAAGTGACCCCCCCAAAAAAAACTCTACCAGGGAACTCCTACAGCTGATAAACACCTTCAGCAAAGTGGTATAATACAAGATTAACTAACTAATTAACTAAATAAATAAAATCAGTAGCCCTACTATATAGACGATAAAGGGGCTAAGAAAGAAATCAGATAAACATCACCCTTTACAATAGCCACAAACAACATAAAATAACTTGGGTAACGCTAACTACACAAGTGAAAGACCTATATAGCAAGAACTTTGTGTCTTTGAAGAAAGAAATTAAAGAAGATACCAGAAAATGGAAAGGTCTTCCATGGTCTTGTATGGGTACAGATTCAATGCAATGCCTGTCAAAATCCCAGCACAATTCTTCACAGACCTTGAAAGGACAATATTCAACTTTATATGGAAAAACAAAAGACCCAGGATAGCCAAAACAACCCTGTACAATAAAGGAACTTCTGGAGGCATCACCATGCCTGACTTCAAGCTCTAGTATATAGCTGTAGTCCTGAAAACAGCTTGTTATTGGCACAAAAATAGACAAGTAGACTAATGGAATCAAATTGAACACCATATTAACCCAGACACCTATGAGCACCTGATTTTTGACAAACAGGTTAAAATTATACAATAGAAAAAAAGAAAGCATCTTCAACAAATTGTCCTTGCATAACTGGATGTTGGTGTGTAGAAGACTGCAGATAGATCCATGTCTATCACCATGCACAAAACTTAAGTCGAAATGGATCAAAGACCTCAACATAGACTCAGCCATACTGAATCTCTTAGAAGAGAAAGTGGGAGGTACCCTTGAATGAACTGGTACAAGAGACCGTTTCCTGAACAAAACACCAGTAGCACAGACACTGAGATCAACAATTAATAAATGGGACTCTGAAAATGAGAAGGTTCTGTAAGGCAAAGGAAACAGTCAACAAGACAAAATGACAACCCACAGAATGGGAAAAGATATTCACCAACCCCACACCTAATAGAGGGCTGATCTCCAAAATATATAAAGAACTCAAGAAGCTAGTCACCAAAATACCAAATAATCCAATTAAAAAGTGGGATACAGAACTGAATAGAGAATTCTCAATAGAGGAATCCAAAATGGCTGAAAGACACTTAAGAAAGTGCTCAACATCCTTAGCCATCAGGGAAATCAAAGGAAGGCAACCACCTT